CAGGAGTGGATTATACATCTCCATCAGGTGTGATTCCATGCAGCTCACTACAAAGAACAAGGGAGAATAACTACCAAAAGAATAATTCAAGAAAAGCTTTTAGAATTAGAGTATGAGTTCTCAGCCTGATAGCTTAGACTAAGAACTCACTATAATTTTTTTTTTTTTTATCTAACACTAAGACGTGCCATTATAACATGGGAGAAGCCAGGACATCTGGAAAGGACAAAGGACTCTGGGAACTGGAAAGAAAGAAATCTCCTGCCCCCTCTTGTCTCTCTTTCTCAGTCTCTCTCTGCATCTCTGTTTCTGTCTCTCTCTGTGTCTCTGTCTGTTTCTCTCTCTCTCTGTCTCTCTGTCTCTCTCTGTCTTCTCTCTCATACACACACACTAAAATAAAATAAAACAAAAACTAGCACATTGGACAAAAGGGAAGAGCCTAACAGAAGGCACTAGAAACAGAGATCACTTCTTTGTACCTTCAGGAATCCCATAAAAACACTAAACTGGAAGCCATAATATATTCCTATTCCTATCAAGAAAATTATCAACTTCTTTCAGATTTTTCAATTTTGTTAAGTACAGTTTTTTAAAGTATGTCCTTATGATTCTCTGACTTTTCCTAGTGACTATTATTATGTCCCTTTTTTCATTTTTGATTTTGTTAATTTGCGTAGTTTCTTTTTACCTCTCAGTTAATTTGGATAGGGCTTTGCCAATCTTTGGGGGGAATATTATTTTCAGGTGTGTGACTTTTGTTTATGCTGTATTTGTTAAACTCTATGAAGCTGTGTTTCTATGCCTGTCTAAAACACCTGATGAGCTGAATAGCCAATAGCAAGGCAGGAGCAAAGATAGGTGGGTCTGGCAGGCAGAGAGAATAATCAGAAGGAGAAATCTGAGAGGAGGAGAAAGAGCAAAAGAACGAGGAGAGGGGGACGTCAAGGGCCAACAACCCAGCTACACAGCCAGCTGAGGAGTAAGAAGTAAGATATACAGAAGTAAGAAAGACAAAAGCCCAGAGGGAAAAGGTAGGCGGGATAATTTAAGAAAAGCTGGCTAGAAACAAGCCGAGCTGAGGGAGCAAGTTTACATCTAAGAATAAGGCTCCGTGTGTGATTTATTTGGGAGCTGGGTAGCGGGCCCCCTCAAAGGGACAAAGAGTGAAAGCAACACACGATACCAATCTTCCTGATTTTCTCAGAGAACCAACTCTGTTTCACTGATTCTTTGGGTTTTTTTGTTTGTGGCTTGCTTCCAGTTTATTTTAGCCCTGAGTTTTATTGTTTCTTGCCATCTACTCCTTTTGGTTGTGATTTTTTTTTCCTTTTGTTCTAGAGCTTTCAGGTGTGCTGCTAAGTTACCATAAGAGATATCTACCATTTTTTTTATGTGTGCTTTTCATGGTATGGACTTTCCTCTTGGAACTGCCTTCATTATGTCTCATAAATTTGGGTTTGATGTATTTTTTTCATTTAATTTTAGAAAATCTTTAATTTCTTAATTATCTGTCTAACCCATTTATCATTCAGTATTGAGTTGTTCAGTTTCCATGAGTTTGTAAGCTTTCTGTTGCTTCTGTTTTGTGGATACCCAGTTTTAATGCATTTCTTGCGCATGTTGAAATGTGCTTTGTGCCCAAGTATGTCATCAATTTTGGAGAGAGTTCCATGACGTGCTGAGAAGGAGGTATATTCTTTTTGCTAGGGTGGAATGTTCTATAAATATCGAATAGGTCTATTTGGTTTATAAGTCAGCTAACTCTGTCATCTCTCTGTTTAGTTTTGTCTGTATGACCTGTCTGTTGGTGAGTTAGGTATGGAGTTACCCAAGTCAGTGTGTGAGGGTCAGTATGATTTTAGCTGCAGTAGTGTTTCTTTTACTAATTTGAGTGCCCCTTGCATTTAGGGCATAGATGTTAAAATTTGAAATGTTCTCTTGGTGGATTTTTTCTTTGGAGGGTATGTAATCTCCTTTCCTATCTCTTTCAGCTTGTTTTGGTTGGAGTCTGTTTTGCTGGATATTAATATGGTTACACCAGCTTGCTTCTTAGGTCCATTTGCTAGGAATATCTTTTCCTGGTGGTGGCACATGCTCTTAATCCCAGCACTCATGAGGCAGAGGCAGGTGGCTTTCTGTGAGTTCGAGGTCAGCCTGGTCTATGAGCAAATTCCAGGACAGACCCCATAGCTACAGAGAAACCTTGTCTCGAAAAAAAGTACTAGAAGTTTTTGATTAAACATGCACATTTTGGGTATTCAATTTTTGTGCAGAACGATATTGGAATTTTATTGATCTTATATTGTTAATGCAACAATAAAACAGAATGTCCTATAAATGTTTAGATAAATAGATAGATTAAAAAGGATTATACCAGCTTGTTTCTTAGGTCTGTTTGCTTGGAATATCTTTTCCCATTCTCTTACCCAGAGATGGTGTCCATCCTTGATTTTAAGGTGTGTTTCTTGGTTGTTGCAGAAGGTTGGGTTCTGGTTTTACATCCATTCTGTTCGTATGTGTCTTTTTATTGGAAAATTGGAACTAGTGATGTTGAGAAATATCAATGATAAATGTTTGGCGATTCCTGTTATTTTGCAGTTGTGTGTGTCTGTCCCTTTTGATTTGGTGGTCTGGGATTGTTTGTGCTTTTTTTTCTTGGGTATGATTAGCCTCTTTAGGTTGGAATTTACCTTCTAGCACCTTCTGGAGGGCTGGAGTAGTAGATAGTGCTTAAATTTGGTTATATCATAGAATGTCTTTTATTTTTTTCTCCATCTATGGTTATTGAAAGTTTCATTGAATATAGTAGTCTGGACTAGAATATGTGGTCTTTTATTAGAGTTTATAGCATATCTTTCCAGGCCCTTCTGGCTTTTAAAGTCTCTATTAAAAAGTCAGGTGTTATTCTAATACATCTACCTTTGTATGTTACATGGTCCTTTCCAGTTTTTAATTTTTTCCTTTGCTCTGAATTGTTGGGACCATTTGGAGTCCTGGCCGCCAGCTGCTCTTCCCTGCTAGAGATCTTTATTTTCCTTCTGATTTGAGTTGCTAAAAGCTGTGTCCAAATTGTTTACCAGCTCTTCTTCACGAGCACGTGTTGCCTTGGCCTTGAGGATAAGGTTTTCACCTGTTGGCCCACCTGACTGTTGGGTATATAAGCCTCCGTGGTGCTATTGAATAGAGGGCTTCTTACCAGTGACTAGAGGTCCGTGTCTCTGTCTGTGTGTGTTTGTGTGTTTCAACCTCCAGCCCCTTGCCTGAAGCTCGCGAACTGTAGGGTAGCGCATAGAGCGCAGACAGGCATTGTGCGCTGCACTGTATGTTTAGTGTTTTGGTTATCATGTGTCATGTGGACTGTCCTTTCTGGTTCAGTCCATTTGGTGTTCTGTGTGCTTCTTGTGCCTTGATGGGCATCACATTCCTTTGTTTAGGAAAAAATTCTATGATTTTGTTAAATAATTTCTGGGCCTACAGCCTTCGTTTCTTCTCCCTCTTATTCCAATTATTCTTAGATTTTTTTTCATAGTGTCCAAGACTTTCTGTATGTTTTCTGCCAGAAATATTTTAAATTTAACATTTTATTTGATAGAAGTATCCATTTCTTCCATTGTGTCTTCAGTGCGTGAGAATCTCTCTTCTTTCTCTTGTATTCTGCTGCAGAAACTTGTCTCTGAGGTTCCTGTTTGAGTTTCTAAATTCTTCTCTTCCAGATTTCCTTCCGTTTGAGTTTTCTTTGTGGATTCTGTTTCCACTCTCAGGTTTTCAACTGTTTTATTTATTTCTTTCCACTGTTTTTTTGTGTTTTCATAGATTTCTTTGGGGAATGTATTCATTTCTTCTTTACAGACCTATTTTCATAAAGGCTATTTTAATGCCTTTTCCTTGTGTTTAAGTGATTTTGCAAAGCTCAGAGCCTGCTGTGAGATTGCTGGGTTGTAGTAGAGACAGTGTCCTTGTTGTTACTGAGTTTTTGTGCTGGTGTCTCGGCATCTGGGATTGGAAAGGTTGTAATTCTTGGTGCTGATATCTGGTCTGGTCTTTATTGGATAAGTGTTTTGTTCCTTGGTTTCGATTGTTCTCTCTGGTGCTTTGAAGAGTCTTGCGGGATCCTCTTCATCTGGGATTCTGATAGATGTGACCCCTGAGGATTCCATGTAAAATGTGTTTCTAAGCATTGAGAGCTGACTCTTAGGAACAGGGTTGGGATAGGAGGGGGAGCTGAGGCTGTCTACAGGAGGAGAAAAGCAGGTTTCTCCACCAGGATCTGCTTAGTGCCTTGGTAAGGAGCCAGAGAGGGAGGACAGGCTGCCTCCGGTGGTTTGCTATAGAACTGGGAGTGAGACTGGGGGACTGGACTTGGAGAAAGGGAGGGAGAGGTGAAGCTTAGCAGTTAGCCTAACTGTTTGTATGGCCTGAGTGGCCTGCGGGTTCCCAGGGAGAGCCTGAAGGCAATAAAGCCTGAGATAAAGCCAAGAGTCTGGGGAAGGACTTTTAGAGGAGTAGATCCCTGTGATCTACTGCAGAGACACATTGGGCATGGGAGGGGAGCTTCAGTTTGCTGAAGTAAGAACTTTAGGATTACTTGGCCTTTTAAAATATATGAAATGTTGGTAGATTGGAACAAAAATTTAAAACAGTAAGCGAAGAAAATTCCATGGTTCTCAAATTAAGCAAAACACAACAGATCACACACATGAATTTTGTTTTTATTAAAGACTTGGCCAATGATGGAAAGAAGGATTAGATTACAAATTAAATTTTACTTGGTCTTAATTTTGAGAATAATGAAAGTCTAGAACATTCCCACCCCTGCATCTGTTCAGTGTGTGTAGTAACAATCAGAACTGCTCTCCAGAGCATGTTTGCACACAGTATTTCCCCAGCATCTCCACTAAATACCCCCAGAAACCCCTGGTGGCTGATCCCTTAGCATCTGATCCTAAAAAGCAACACACCGAAGGTCTGACAGGAAAGTTCTGTGTTGGCTCTTGTTTCAGGCAAGGCCCCGCCAAACCAGAGGTTCTGTCTATCCAGTGGCCCGGAAAGCGATCCAGCCGCCGAGTCCAGAGGCACAACAGCTTCTCCCCCAACAGCCCACAGTTCAACGTCACCAGTCCAGGTAAGGCACACTTCGATGCTCTGCTTCATCCCATGGAGGATTTAAACATAGCAGCCTGTGCCAGGTGGTGGTGGCGCACACCTTTAATCCCAGCACTAGGGAGGCAGAGGCAGGCAGAGCTCTGTGATTTCGAGGCCAGCCTGGTCTACAAGAGCTAGTTCCAGGACAGCTAGGGCTGTTACACAGAGAAACCCTGTCTCAAAAATAAAACAAAAAAACAGCCGCCTGGAATGTTATCCTTGTATCAAATGCAAGTGGTACGGAAGCAGTCAGAGTGTTAGGAAGTGAGGAGGTGATCGACCAACTGCCCGGCCCATCAGATCCTAGCATTGTGTCTGGACAACTCAGAGGGGGATGGATGCAAACAAGAACATTCCAGCAGTCAGTTCCCAAGAGATGGACCCTGTGCAGTATCCTAGCTCTGAAACTGCTCCTCCACCCAATACCTTCTCCCTCGCCAGGTCCCCTGAAATTCATCCAGGAAAATTTTAGTGTTAGCCATGGCTATCTTATCGTACCCCAGATTCATACAAGGTGGACACATGTTTCCCCATATTCCAGCTCACTCAGAATATGAAGCAATTGTGTAAGGTCATCTGAACTACTGTTCCGTTTCAAAGAAACCGAAAATTTCTATAATTACAACTACAAATCATTGTTTGTGGTTGGTGGAGGTTTGGACAGCGTCAGCCAGATGTGGCTCTAGGCTATAGGCTAAGTTCTCTGCTCCTGGTAGCTTCCTCCGGAATAAATGACAGCCAGAAAGAACATTTTTGCCTCCTGTTAAGTGTCAGAAGCATAAGCAGCCAGGCCAAAATCATATAAATAGATTGAAACTATAATGTTATTCTTGCCACCTAACTCTCATTTGCCAAATAAATCACATGTCAAGCCTACCAGTCTGGGAGAAAAACATTGTGCCCCTCACTGTAGCAAGAGGCTATAAAGTCCTCCTCCACCACCCAGGGGGTCTTCCAATGGAACTATAGGAAGAGCAAGGAATCAGCAAGCAAACTACAAACTGCTCTCATGGCTGAAAAACAGCAGTGCCGGATTCCCAAGACCAAGCTTAGATTTCCATTTTAACCATTTAGAAAACACAGAGCCAGGGAGATATCCCCACAAGTAAAGGAACTTGCTGCCACGCCTGGCAACCCAAACTTGACCCCCAGAACCCACATGGTAGAAAATCAGACTCCATGACTGAGCCAACTCCCACAGGTTTTCAGCTGAGTGTTACACACATGCCTTGGAATGCATGAGTGTGCACACATGCACAAACATACATGTGCACACACAATAAACAAAATATAAATGTGATGCATTGGGGGGAAATATAGAAAATAGTCGGTTTCATTCATGCTACCCTGAGCGTGCCCATCAGACTTGACCCTAGAAGTGAAGTAGAAGGAGGCCTGACTCATACTTTGATGGGAAGACATAGTCAAAACTACAGTTCCCAAGGACTTCGATTTTTCTCAGATCATTGTAGGGAACAACCAAGCTTAGAAATATGTTGCCTAATTTGTAAATTAAACATTGAAAATGAATATTGTTTTCTACATTTAAAGTATTTTCTTTGAACACTCATTTCTGATAGCACTTATTGGTTTCAGTGTTAATGTTTGTGTTGACTTTATAATTTGTTTTTATAATTTCTTCATGGATAGTCCCAGAAGAGTACCCTTCCCCACTTTGCCAAGGCTTCCAAATAAACGAATAAATAGCAACACCTAAAGATGACATCATCAAATTGGGAAGCTGAGGCAGTCAAATGGAATTTACAGTTGAGCTTTCTCTTCATGGATGAGCTCCCTGAGTCTGAAATTCCGGCTGCTCTCCCCAGCTATGGACAGTGTTATTGCATGGGAAAACAGTAGTAACACTTGCTGGAAATAGTTTACCTGCTCTCTCCTCTTGGTGGCATAATGTGTTGACTCTTGAGTTGCCCTGCTGGTCTACCCCTCCCTGCTATAGAGTTAGAGTGAGCTCATCCCCAGATAAGGAGCTCTGGAGGGCACTTGAAAACAAACATGCTCGGGTCTGAAATGAGGAAGGAGGGCAGTCCTTCTAAAGTCAGCTTCCACGGAGGTAAAACAGCACAAGGCATTTGCACTGACATTCATATTACATGATACCAGATATGCAGTAAATAATAAATATTCAATATGTGTGTGCATAGCTACACACATTTACACGTGAGCGTATTTTATATGCATGGATACAGTGCAGCAGGCTCCAGTGTGCACACTCTACCTAAGCCATGGCTAAGGAGTTCATAGTCCCAGGTTAGTCGGTGGGAAAGACAGCACAGCTACCTTACCTTACACTTGTCACCTATCACAGCTCCGTTCCTGCCCCTGCCTCGTATGCAAGCTAAGAATCAGTGCTTTTCTTCGTTCCAAAAGAAAACTATCTTATAGGAAAGAAAACTGGCTCAGCAGGATGTGTTCTCTCGAGCTTCACAGGCCAGTGCAGAAAATACTATTTAAAAAAAAGGAAGAAGAAAACAGGCTTGTGAAAAAAGTCAGTGGTGCAGACATCTCTGTGAATTGGCTACTTAGATGTCAGTCATGGATACATTTTTAGGAATCTGTTTAAAAGCCAGCGACACTGCATTCTCCCTTCAGGGTGGAAGGAGAGATATCTGAGCATTCTGCACTGCTAAAAATCTAATACTCTGTCTTTGTGGTTTCTTCCCAAGCACTGTTAGAAGAAGACAACCAGTGGATGACCCAGATAAACAGGCTCCAGAAATTAATTGATAGACTGGAAAAGAAGGTAGGTACTCCCTTTCCTTTTCTCTCCCTCCTCTTCTGCAAGGCCTTCTGCCTCAGCTTCCTCACTGCCTGGATGTCCATCCATGGCTGCCCTGTGAACAGAATAATGCTCAGCATTCATGTAGCTCTCTGAATGGCTGGTTGGTAGCTTCAAGGGCATGTTTTCTGATTGTTTGTTGTTTGTTAAAGCAAATACAAAAGCTCAAAGTTCCATGTAAAATAAGGCCCAGGGGCTGAGAATTAAGTGAACTTGTAGGTCCTACTTGAGTGATGTTAATGACACCTCAGAGAGACACAGGTAAGGTCTTATGAATCTTCCAGTTTATTTAGAGGAAAGGGTTATTCTATGCTCAACTTCTAGAGGTTGACATATTAACTGATAATTTTAGTGTTAAAACTGCCTAGTAAGCAGACGAGAAGGAATATGATGAAGACTTTTTTGGAGCTACATTATATGTCCTTAATTATCATACCTTTTAGGAGCGATTGAGCTTGTCTCAAGTGTCCTAACTGTATACTGGCATTATGCTTACATAGCTTGGACAGTAAAGGTGACCTTTGCCAATCAGTAAGAACGCTTGTTTGCAGTGACTTCTGGACAATAAAGAATGAATATTTTTGCTTGGCAGAAAACCTAACTTTTGAAGAACTCGTGTATAATTGTACAAATAAACAAGGAGGGGTAGGGGAAGGGTTGTTTGTTGCCTAAATGACTGGTAGTCAGAACTGGACTCATAACTGATGATCAGTAGGTCTGGACGTGTGCCCAAAGTTGGACTGTGCAGACATTTCCCTGGAGGAATGGTCTCCACGAGCTGGGTACTTGGAAACATTTCACATTCAGAAAGTGTGTAAGTTTTATTAAAACTTATGCCAAGTCAATTAAGAATTTGATTACAAGCAATAGAAATCATCTTGCTAATTTAATAAAACCGAGAAATTTCTGGAAGGGTATGGCAATGCTCATGATATCAACAGATATTCCTTCTAAGACGTGAATTCAGGAACTCAGGGGGATACGGTCACTCCAGGTGCCTAGCTATGAAGAACCGTCGTCTCTTGGGCTATGTGCACTAGAATTAACGAGTTCAACCCATCTCCAGTCTGTGTATGTGCTAATCATCATCCTGTTCTCAGGAGGGAAGACAGGAGGGGTGCGGTGAGGGTCGCATGCTGGCTTCTTAGGGTGGGGGACCATCTAACAGTCCCAGATCATCGCATGCTAGATTCTTAGAGTGGGGACCATCTTATAGTCTCAGACCATCACATGCTAGATTCTTAGAGGGGGGACCATCTTATAGTCTCAGACCATCACATGCTAGATTCTTAAAGAGAGGGGGGACCATCTTATAGTCTCAGACCATCACATGCTAGATTCTTAAAGAGAGGGGGGACCATCATATAGTCTCAGACCATCACACGCTAGATTCTTAAAGAGAGGGGGGACCATCTTATAGTCTCAGACCACCACATGCCGGCTTCTTAGAGAGAGTGGGGGAACATTCTAAATCTCAGACCACCACAGTGCAACGAGAAACAGAATTCATGGAAAAGAAAATGTGTTGGCATGAAAGTGGAGTAAATGCTGACCAGCTAGCACCCTGAAGAAGTAAAGCTTTAGAAAACAAAGAGTTGACTGGAGAGGACAGTGAATGTCTGGAAGTGAAATGGTTTTGTATTTCATTTAGGAAAGCACTGAGGATTAGTCTTACATGGAGAATTGCTACCTAATCATAAAGCCATTTGTAACAGATTAAGGGATTTGGACTTGGTCCTGGGAACAATCAGACACATTTATTATTTTTCTACATAGGCAGTTAAAAGCATAAGATGTTTTGATAGAAAATCAGGTCGTAATATACAAATTGCATTAAATCAAAATAGATTAAAAAATAAGAGTACTAGACTGAGAGCTGAAGAAGCCAGCTCCAATGATGGCATCAATTTCCAGTTTGTATACTAGAGCCCAAGATGGGTCCATCCTAAGTGAGTGGAAATGAAAGGCTTCCAAGGTTAGCAGTAGAACTAACAACACCACCAGATGGGTATGCTGGGAACCCAGGAACAGGCTGAGGATCTCAGCCTATCAGAATCCGTACATACTGTCTCATAGAAGTGGGGTGACAAGTGGTAGCCTACTTTGAGGTGCAGTGAAAAAAACAGGCTTTCAAGGTTCATCAATTTCAGGGTACAATAGGCAAAGGTACCCCTTTAAATGTCAGTAATGAGGTCAGCCTGGCAGGCTGGGTTTTACACCTGGACCAACTGAGGTGAAACCTCGAGGCCTGAAGATGGGCAAGGATGCTGAAGACAAGATTCTCTCTGTGCAAGCAGAGTCAAGTCAGAGAGAAGCAATCCTGGATAACTCCAGCCCCTAAGCCTGGGCGTCTTCATTGATGTCTGCTCCTCCTGGAGCAAACACAAGAACTGTAAGATTGTTGCAAATTAACTTTCCCTCTTTCATTCCCTGAGACCTGAATTTCAGCTGGGACTAAAGGAAAAACAGTGTCTATGAAAATTAGCTTTCTGATGTTGAAAGGCCCGGGGAATCTGAGACCCTGTTTTGAGAAGAAAACCCAATGGAAACATAAGGGTTCCTGTGATAAGCAAGTTTAGATTCTTTTAAAGAACAAAATATCTCTTTGTGAAGGGGTTGTGACATTCCCAGGGAAAATGTCTCCCCTTGGTGTATGAAATGCATACAGTTCTTTTTTCCTGGAATGGCTTAAACTTTAGTAACATCTCTCTAGCCTGTTTTAAATCAAAGTATTATTATCACATCCCTTTCTCTCCTGGACTTTTGTCTCCCTCCCTTCCTATGAGACGGTTTTACTGTAAGAGCAGCATCGGAGAGGCTTGCTGAAAGAACAGGGTGATGGTGTTCAGCCTGGGCTCCAGCAGTGTGGCGCTCAGCATGAGCTGTCTGATGAGCGTGCACAGTGTGGGCTAGGTTTTCCTGTCTGGCTTGTTCTGTGCTGTGCTGAATTAGGTTTCCAGAGGAAAACGACACAATGGCCAAACAGTGGCTCGGGGCTGTCGTTTCCCCGCTGACTCCCTTGTTCCTTATGGTTTTTATGAGATTTGATCTCCCTGTTAAAAGAAAGTATACTTGAGGCAGAACATATTGTTGATTTTTTTTTGTCTATTGAATATTTATGATAATCCTTCCTAGACAGTAAACTAAACATGACTCCATTCAAGAGGCTGGTAGTTACGAACATTCAGGATTCCTATGAGTTTTTCGGGATCTGTTCTTTCCAGTCTCCATGAGTAGTAAAGGGGGAGGGGTGTACTGAAGTTATAACCGTACTATAGTGAGTCCGTACAAAACACCTTCAGGGCTGGGGGAGATGGCTCCAGGTATGAAATGTTTGCCATGCAAGCAAGAGATCCTCAGTTCTAATACCCAGAGTCAAAGAAAAGCTGGGTGCAGTAGCAACCCATCTACAATCCTGTGCTTCTCTGGGGGAGACACATGGGAGGTAGAGAGCAGAGGATTCTCGGAAGCTCACAGCCGTCTATCCTGTTGTGTAAAGCAACAAGCAATAGAGAGACTCCAGCTCACGAAGACAGAACATGTGAAGCCTGATGTTCAAGGCCTTCATCTGACCTCCACACATGCACTGCAGTACACACACACACACACCATTTTTTAAAAATTGAATGGGAATAAAAAGGAAAAAAATCTTTAATGTTAAATGAAACAAAGGCAATGATAAAGACCGTACATTCCCTGGTGTGTTATCTGGTCACCAGAGGATGGATAACTGAGGATGGCTCCCTCAAGCTTTTCTTCCCTTCCGTCAGACAATGTGGAACCGAAGAGTGAGAGAAACACAGTCAGAGACCACTAGTCAGCACTGTGCTGCTAATATTCCACTCACATTCTAACTCACGGCCTAATTTTACTTTATGGAAAAGCCATGGTTTGGTGGGACCTTCATCCAGCCACTCGCCGATTCTGCAATGTCTGTGTGCCTAGCAGCATTCTGGTAATAGCCGTGCAGACATACTTAAAAGATGCAAAATATTTTGTCTCTACAAAGACAGACAAAAATATGAGAAAGAATCTAAGAAAAAACATGAAATCAAATCATGAGCTACAGCTGAGGTCCTAAAGTCAGCAGGTGGGAGTGGATGGAGGAGTTCCATGCTTAAGGGGAGTGGGCTGGAAGACTGTGTTCAGGATGCTGGATTAAAACTGGATGTGAAAGACAAGAGGAGGAGCCATTTAGAGGGAGGTCTTCGGGGAAATAAATCTACAGCAGAAGGGACCTGAACGTTTTAATCATTCAGCGATGATAAAAAGCTAACTTACCTGGAGCTCTATCTACACGCAGCTGAGCCAGAGCAGACCTGGTCTGCCATGCCCAGTTTCACACTGTGTAGCATAAACTGGACAGCTATAACTGCTAATTTTTACTTAGTTATTTCAGGGAAATATTTCATGTATTCCTCACTTGGAATATGTGTTTCTTCACAAATATTGAAGGTTTACTCACTTGGTTTTACTGGGTGCATTGGTGTTAACCCCTGATAAGACCTAAAGATCTTTATAAAAGTCTTGCATTCATGAAGACGGACAGAGGTTCTCATCTGAACTACACACACACACACACACACACACATACACACACAGAGAGAGAGAGAGAGAGAGAGAGAGAGAGAGAGAGAGAGAGAGAGAGCAGTTCTAAACATTTGAAAAAAAACTTTGAAAAAAATATTAGTCATTTTCCTTTATTTTTCAATTCACTAGCTTTAGTAAAGCAAACTCGGTGCTGGAGCACAGAAACATTGTAACATACGGATATCTAGGACATGAAAACAAAGGCATCTGCCTGTGAGTCCGGTCCTCCCAGCCTTGTTCCCCCTGTGACAGCATTTCTAGTCGCCCCTTTGCTCTCTGGGGGCTACAGTGAAGGAAGGAATAATTTAAACTTATTGTAAATAGTGCCTTAACATTGATTTTTAATAAAGATACAATATCTCTTTGTTGAAACAAATCAATTTTTAAAATGAAAATTGGTTCATCTCCTTTCAAACAATACAGTACTTTGGATTCAAAATTAGCCATGAAAACAAAACTGCAGTATGGGTTTATGTTAGTTATGTAACTTGGCATCTTTTCTTTTTCTCTGCCTTTACTTCCTTTTCTGAAGGATCTGAAACTTGAACCTCTGGAAGAAGAAGTTATTGAGGAGAGTACTAAACCGGTGAGTGATTTCCATATCAAAATTTCAAAAATGCACACTCTGAAGACAAGACTCACTGCCCCCAAAATCTAGTGCCCCAATGATAAGTCAAAAACTTAATGAATGAATTTATTTCACTCATTTAGATTTACAATGACATTTGTTATAATATGTATTATTTCTTGCTTTCGACACCAATAAAAATTTCATGGCATGCAAAAAAGCAAGTAAATCATACAAGTTATTAATTTATAAGCCCAGGAATACAATATATAGAGAGATTTTAGAAAAAAATCACAATTTCATCAATTTTCCAAATTATTATGCTCTTTGTTTAAAGGTGTCTATGCCCAGCTCTGAATCAGCTTCGCTGGTGTTGGCCAAGCCTGCCATACATATGAGAAGCTCAAAACTGCTCCTTGTGGGAGTAATTCACACTCTACCACCTATTTTTTTTTGCATAAAGTGTTATTGAAATTGGGCCCTCCTCCATTTATGTAGTACCTGGGGTCACTCAGTAACAGAGCTGAGGAGTTGCTATGGGAACCAAGTAGCACTCAAAGCCTGACCTATCTGCTGTCTGTTTACAGAAACCCCTTGCTGACCCTGCTCCATCAGGTCTTGTGCACATGACAATCTCGGGGACCTGAGTGGGGTTGGGGTGAGGACTGACAGTCCCTCGGGCCCTTATTGGAAATACCCATGATACTTCTGCAGCATTCGCAGATTCGAAGCCGGTTAGAAAGCTAACCCAGGTCCCAGGTGAGGGAAACAGAAATGGGGACCTTGTAGGAGGAACAGAAAAGGTGAATTCCAATGGACCTGTCTCTTGTGGGGTCGTGAAGGCCTCTGGCCCTTTTCAGTATTCATCTTCCTGAATCATGGAAGTGTTGCTTTCAAACAGAGAGTGACAGAGAAACAGGTATAGAGGGCTAGGGCTCATATATCATATATATGTAGGAAATCAGTTCTCTTTGGTTGTCAGTACTGCACCAAGTTCCTGGGAGAATCCCACAAAGACCTGATAGACCACAGAGCCTTGGGAGCTAGTCCCAGGTTTGAGTCTTCTGATTCTTCATCTCTGCCCCTGAGAGGAAATAAAGCAAGGGTCAATTGGGTTGTTGAACTCAAGGTAGCTATTTATGTAAATAAATGGGTCAAATTTATAGAATGCTTCCAATACTATTTTAAAATGTTATTTTTTTCCAGTAAAAAGCCCACACAGTGATTCAGGGGCACATAGTCCTCTCTTTTCAAATCTCTCTTATTCCCAAGATAGGCTTCCTCCTACCAACAGAAAAGAAACAGACAGAAAGATACGATGGCTCGTGTCCTTCATATTAGGCTCAAATGTGTTATCTGGAGCTCCTGTTTGAATATTTTTGTTAAAAAAAAAAATCAAGAGATTGTGCCTAAATGCAAGGGAAGAGAGTCCCAAGAGTACCTGGGAAATGAGGAATGACAATGTGGGGTCTGACCATCTATCTAATTCCCACAGGAACCCCTTGTAGAACACACATAGACCCCTCTACCCCTCTACAAGGGTCTCTACCACCCAAAACTCTCTATGGTGACCGCTTTAGCTCAAAATCTGGGATCTACGGATATTACTAAATTCTACTTGTTAGGAATTGGTCTCTGGAGGTCTGAAAAACATGAATTTTAGATAAACTGATAGAGCGAGAGAGAGAGAACACAGTGATGAAGCTAGGCCGTAAGGCATAAATGGGGTGAGTAGACGAGAAACACGCAGCCCTCAGTGCTTGATAACAACAATGAATTCAAGCTGAGAGACATTTTCAGCTAGGAAATTCTATGATTAGACACTGGCTCTCAGTTCTTGGAAGAGCCTTGCCACCCAATTGTTTTTGTGAAATTTTTTTCCTGGTCCATTAACCTCTGTGATCATCTGTAAAAGCCAACTGAAGAGTATCTCCTTCTGGGGAGTGGGAGGAGATCATACACTATTCATAGCCTGCTGAGTGCTCGTGTGTGGACACAAACATGGTTCTGACGGCTGAACGGCTTTGTATGTCAGTGGCAACGCAACGCCGTTTCCTCAGAAAACTGATCCTTATGATCAGCTTACATAAATAGAGTCAGCTTCATGTGTGAGCTGATATCATTGCCTGGACACAGATTTTAGCCTGAATTTGCTAAGCCCTTTGAAAACAAAGAACCTGTGTGTGTGTGTGCGTGCATGTAATCCTAGGAATTGAGATAGGACTCATGCATGCTAGGCAGGTACTCTGCCAGTGAAATCAATCCCCAGCCCTAGAGGCCTGTCTTTATCACTGCATGCCCAGAGCCCTGCATGTGGTATTTACTGTGACAAAATAAAAAGGCATGGTGTCTGTCTAAGAATAGACACCGTGACCAAGCCAACTTTTATAAAAGAAAGCATTTAATGGGGATAATGGAGGCTTGCTTACAGTTTCCTATGACAGGGAGCCCAGGCACATGCATGGTGGCACAAATGGTGTTGAAGCAGGGAAATCTATATCCTGATCTGCAGGCAGAGAAAGAGGCAGGGGAGAGCGGGAGAGAGGGAGGGTGAGACAGACTGGGTCTGGCTTGGACCTTTGAAACTTCAAAGCCTACCTACCACCAGTGACACACTTCTACCCAAAAGGTCACACCTACTTCAACAATGACTTCCTAGTCCTTCTATTCCTTTCAAATGGTGGCACTTTCTTGGCGACTCCAAATGAGCCTCCAGGGGCAATATGTATTCAAACCACCACAGCTGTATGTGTTTAGTGCCTCTCGTGGTTCCTGCAATGCAATCGGTGTTTGACAGTAACAGCTATTTAACAAGCACTGAGAAACTGGGCAGCACAGGGAACAGAAGCTCAGGGTTAACCGTAGCCTCTATGCTCCCGGGCAAGCAATCCTGGGCAAGTTTTGTTTGTGTTCCATACAATCCCTGTGAGTGTGTCTTAAATTTACTCTTGCATTTTTATAAGGCTTATTTTCATACTTTTAAAGTTTTCCCTCAATCCTTGCAGAAGAAGATAGGCTTAATAGTGAGACTACACAGGCAGGTCTCCAGGCAATTCTCTGGGGAGTATAAATGACAATTGTTATAATTGTAATAATATTTTTTTAGGAAAAACAGTTAGTAGCCAACCTACTGTGAGCCATTAAATCGGGTATAGTAGCAACTTTTCTCTCGTTGCTTATGGCAAAATATTGTACAAAAGCAACTTAATGAGGGTCTTACTATTTATTTGACCGTGATGTTTTGAGGGTACACTCCATCATGGCAGAAGTAACAGGAGGCAGCTGGCTCTGTTATGTCCACAGTCCGGAAGCAAACACACATGAAGGCTGGTGCCCAGCTTTCGCTTTCCTTACTCAGTCCAGCACCCAGCTCAGGGGATGGGGCGCCCCAGTTAAGCTGGATCTTACTAGCTAAATGAGCCCGATAATAGAACCCCCTCACAGACCATACCCAGAGCTTTGTCCCTTAGATGATTCTATGTATGGAGCATCACACTGCCAACTGGTTAGGGCATTCTGAATAGCACGTGTTACAAATGGGTAATCTATGATAGTCCTTTGGTCACCGACACAGCATTGGAAATGCATCAGTAAGCCCACGTTTTTAAAAGCAAACTTGATTGTAATGATTTTCACAGTATCTGATATCAGAAACTGAAGCGATGCAGATTCCGATAGAACTTCTCTTTAAACCTTGGTATCTCTAGGGTGGTGGCCACGACTCAGTGGCGCATCAGAGGCACTTCGGGAAGCTTTTAAGATGCCGGTGCCTGGGTCAGCCACCTCCGGCCAACTGAGACTTTCTCTGGAAAGCTCCTCCATGATTCTAATTGCATCTCTTGCTTAATTTTAAAGAGGAAACGTCTCAGTGCAGAGGGCACTTTCTTTAGCTTCTGCTGCTATAAATTTCTGGGCTTTTGTGTTTCTTGCGCGATAGAATAGTGACGGCTTTTCTGGGCCGGTTTCTGGCTGGCAGTCGTGTGTGTGACGGCAAGCTCCCTTTCTTCCGCAGCACATCATGCTCGTGCAGCGCCAGATGTCCGTGGCAGAAGATGATCTGGAAGAATTCCAGCTTGCTCTGAAACACTACGTGGAGAGCGCCTCGGCCCAAAGCGGGTGCCTGCGGTAAGTGCTTGCGTGCCAGCCCCCACATCTACACAGATGGTGAGCGTGGGAGTTTAGGTGAGGGCAAGGGGTGCGAGAGCACAGGCATCTCCAGATCCTCATGTTCAATTCTGCAGAGCAGTCCAGCCCTCTGGGGTATGGCATTTGCAGAGTTTAGCAGGATATTTTCTGTTTGATCTCTGAACCGGAGTTGATTTAATCGTTAGGCATACCGAGGGAAATAAAGTGGAAAGTCATCGAATAAAAAGGTTTTCAAATAGATTGCAATCTCCCCTTTTGCACACAGGCCACCAGCACCCAATAAAAATCGTCTGTGTAGACAAGACTCCCACTCGTGGATGTCTTACCTCAATTACCCTGTGGACTAATGACCATTCCAATATTATGAGAATAATGGGGCTCTCCAAAATGAAGATTTCAGACCTTGATTGCTTCCTAAAAGCAGTGGCAGCATCTCTTCCCTCCCTAAACTCCATGGCCTCCTCTCCACTGTTGTGTCAAGACTCATAAAACATGCTACACCTCATCCATAGTTTTTCAGTACATCCTGTCCAATGAGACAGGACTAGAATAGTTGTCCCCAAACAGTGGTAGGTTTCCAAATATCACGAGGACTCTGCGGTGCCTCTCCCAGGAGCATCCTGTGGAATGCTGGGCATATGCCAGACAGAAGCCCATAGGCACAGCCATCTACAAGGAGCACTATCTGTTCCTTCTTACCGTGCCTCAGACCTGACCAGGCTCTTCCATAGATACACACCCAGGCTTTCTCTCACGACATCCCAGAAGTCCACAGCACAGACAAACTTACCTATGTTCAGAAAACGTCCCCAGCCACGTCCCTCTGCCTGTGAGCTTATTTTACTGCATCCCTAATGCTCTTTCAACGTTCGTGAGGTAGGAAGATAACTAGTTCAGAGATTCCTAGGTAACAATGAGTTGAAGTTCAACTGGCAACTGTAGTGAGGACCTTGTCCCAAACACAGAAAAGTATTAAGAATGTATTTCCGAAGTAGAACAGTTGCCTAGCGTGTATAAGGCCCTGGGTTCAATCCCTAGTCACACACGCGCGCGCGCACACACACACACACACACACACACACACAATCTTGTGGAATTTTTTTAAATATTTATTTAGTATACAATATTCTGTCTGTGTGTATGTCTGCAGGACAGAAGAGGGCACCAGACCTCATTACAGATGGTTGTGAGCCACCATGTGGTTGCTGGGAATTGAACTCAGAACCTTTGGAAGAGCAGACAATGCTCTTAACAACTGAGCCATCTCTCCAGCCCCTCTTATGGAATGTTTATGTGTGAACCAAAGACCATGAAATCTGAGCTAAATTCACCAATTCTTTCTCCTTGGCTGACCTGGCGTCTCTGCAGTATGAGTATCAGCAACTCCTCGCCTCCCAGTGCAGCCTTTGTAAGAGACCCTAGGAAATGTTGCGCTTCCATGCCTACCATTCTGCTTCATATCAGGATCAGAAGAGCACAGATAAAAGCATTTTCACCCTTGGAAGAATTAGAGATCTGCCAAGGCAGGGACATATGTAGTTTCTAAAAGCCCACTCATTTAAAAATAAAACTACTTGGAAAACACAAAAGGAACCTATGCAATTGCAGAACATTGAACTCAGTAAACTTTTTGAAATAGCAAAGATAGAAGAAGAAAAGTCTGCCAAATTCCCGGGCATTTGTTAGATGTTTTATATTTGTTAAAAGTTTTTAAATTTCTGAAACCACGTTGGGCACCAAAATAGCCCCAGAGAGGAGGAGCATGCTGTGGCAGGTCAGAGAGAAGGAGCCTGCTGTCGCAGGTCAGGGAGGAGGACCATGCTGTGGCAGGTCAGGGAGGAGGAGCCTGCTGTGGCAGGTCAGGGAGGAGGAGCCTGCTGTGGCAGGTCAGGGAGGAGGAGCCTGCTGTGGCAGGTCAGGGAGGAGGACCATGCTGTGGCAGGTCAGAGAGGCAATATGTGTGATGGGAGCAGAGGTGAGGAGAGGACCATTTGCCGGGGGAAACTCCCAGTCTTGCCTTTTCCTCTACAGCACTGGTCTGTTTCTTACTGCTCTTCATCCACTTGATACTGATTCTTCAGCTCATTTCCAGGGCAGGAATTGTCAGAATGTAGATCTTACCAGATGTAAGGAGTATCAGAAAATGACCACACAGGCAGAACGCCCTGTGCAAGAGACATCTCCCGTCTTGATTAAATGTTTCTAATGTGTTAATCAGTCCCAACTCTCTCCTTGTTGACGAATCATCAAATGCCACTCACCTCAGCCGTTGTCATCCTGGGTACCTTCCGCAGCTGCCTAGTGCTGGGCTGATGAAGCTATGAATTAGCAAAGGTTTTATGTTTCCCATGATGCTTAGCCTCCCCATGCAAGACAGAGTGCTGCCATGGGTGATACCTTACAAGACTAGCAACTTTCATCCATTTTCTTATTTAGTTTTCATGGGAATTGCTGCAGGCATATATTACATCCAGCTTAGAAAAAAAAGCAGGTTCTGGTGTGTTAAAAACTTGCCCATGTTTTAAATTTCTTTGTCTGGACTTAATCACAGTTGAATTTCCTGAACTTTTTTGTGGCTAAGTAGGGGTGGAACTGAATTAGAACTTTTGCTCTGAGTATTCACTATGACATTTGGAAGTTTGAGGACTGACAGAGGTTTGGTTATAGAATTCCGTCAATGGTGTTTAAAGACTTTGCGGAGGGCTGACAAGATGTCTGAGGAGGTAAAGGTGCTTGCCACCAAGGCCAATGATCTCAGTTTGATCTTTGAGTTCTCCATGCTGGAGAGAACTGGCTTCTCCTGCTTATCTCTGACCTCCATATACCCACCCTGGTGTGCACACTTCACACACACACACTTTATCTTTCATGCAAATGGATATATCATGATATACCCAGCTCATTACTTTCTCTGCCATTGCGAGTCCCCAGCTCCTGGGAGAGAATCACCAGTTGAGCAAATGGCATACACAGTGTGCTCATAGAATCAGCCTTGACACCAGACAGGAAGTAGCTTCTGCCTTTGGTGATTCTGAGATCTAACTTTGGAAACAGGATCCTTACTCATAAAGGTAGAAAGCAATTCCAATCATATTCTTGTTCCAAAATTCTACAGTTTTTAAATAGAACTAAGTGATCTCTGAAGTTACTTACTCAGCTACAAAACTCTAGAAATTGATATGTTCATATTTCCAATGTCAAGGGCCCAGGAAACATGACTGTCAATTATACTGCAAAAACCACTCTTGAGACCCCCTTAAGAATTAATGATGCACACTGGTGCATCAGCCATCAATCTGTATGGATAAAATATAGTGGCCAAACCGAGAGAAATGTGGGGAGTACGTCCCTCCTGTTTCATCTATCCATCGGTTTGGCTCTGTGGGTGAGGCAGAACAGGCTCCAGGAGAAGAAAGCAAACAGAGTAAGGAGGTGTCCTCTACAGTCCTCAGAGAACCATTTCACAGAGGGGAAACTGAGGTTGAGTAATGGGCTAAAGGGGCCCCTTAACGAGTGGCAGTTCCATTGGGACATTCTTTAGCCCACTGTCCCATCTCACCACAACATCCTTCCTCTTTAATACTCTACCAGTCTTTCCCGAGCTAGGGCGTTGTGCTGACAGGTGAGTCTCGTTGGGAAGGCAATGCTGGAGATCACACGCAGAATCTCTCACCCACTACACAAGTGCTCCAGCAATTATATCTCCAATGCTTGATGGCTTGAGGGCTATCCCACCACACAGCCAAAGCTGGCCTCAAACTCCAGACCCTCCTGCATCTGTCTTCCAAATGCTGAAGTTACAGGTTTACAGGCCTTTCTGTGCTAGTCCAGAAAATGTAACGTTCTCACAGTAAAATAGCTGAGTAATATTAATAACTCGTCTGCAGGGGGCCATTAATGAGGGCCTGAAATGCTAGGCTGCGTGGTTTAATCTTTATTCTAAGAAAAATAGAGTTGAAATTTGCAATATATTTGAGCATTAGTGACACCTTCAAGATACTAATCAGCTGTAGATTCTCTTCCCAGGAAAAATATATTTGCACATTAATTTGCAGGTCACTTTGGAGGATTGTGGAGAAAGTCACAAAGCTTACCCAGGAACTTCTGGGGTAGGAACACAAAACCCTATTGTATTATCATGCAGCTAATACTTAGAATTTTAAGTTGAGCTAGTATATTAGTACATCATACCTAATAAAGAAAATTATATTTTTAAAATTATAATACCATATTACAAAAATAAAATGTCCTTTATTCATGCTCCACACTGCCATGAGCAGTATCTTTTAAAACAAAAACATATTAAAATTCCTTTGTGTAGTTACTGCCACCTGCTGGTCATCAATAGATGAACCCTAAATATTTCACTGATAAATCCTTATTTTTTGATCCTTCATTTTGCTTCCTAATTTAAATATATTATGAAACATGAGACTAAAAAGATCCTTTAAGAATTCAATATTTAGATGTATCGCACTTTTTCTTGCACAAACCCGTGAGCTTCGCGAGCATGCCCCTCCGATCTGCCTCAGCATTGGGTTGGCTCTTCCTCATCTGTTGTTACTTGTTCAACTCTCCCCTCTCTTTTACACAACTGTCCTCTACTATGCTCCACACTGCTGTGAGCAGAAATTTTAAAACAATTTTAATACATTTTGGTACAAAAGATGCTTAGTAAAACTTTTGAATGGGGACTGGGGAGATGGCTCAGTGGTTAAGAGCACTGGCTGCTCTTCCAGAGGACCCAGGTTTGACTCACAACTTCAGCCCATTTCAGGAGACCACGATGCCCTTTCTGGCCTCCATGGCACAAGACATGTAAGTGGTACACAAACATATGTACAAGCAAAACACAAATAATAAGCTAAGAACTTTTTAAATAAAAGTGTGCAAAGATAATATTAGCCTAAAAATTATATAACAAAAATGATGCAGTGGGGCTACTCAGTTATTGAGAAATCCACTTGATATTCTGCCCAGCTTAATTTGTTTCCTATACATACAGGTAACATTGCTGCATACTCCATACAGAGATTAGAAAATTTGGTTCACTTTTGTCCGCGTGTGCACTCAGAGTGGTTATGGATATGTGTGCCGATGTGTGTGCATAGGTACACAGCTGGAGGCAGACTTAGCACTGAGGACTGGGCAACTTGTCATTCTTGCTCGGCCTGAGCCATTTCTCCCACCCCTCCTTTGCTGCTTTAATTTCCAGGGCCCAATCATGCCTTTTCTATTTCAGTATTTCTATACAGAAGCTTGCAAATGAATCTCGCTACATGATTTATGAGTTCTGGGAGAACAGCAGCGTGTGGAACCGGTAAGTTGCAAGGAAAAATGACTTGTTTCATTAAACATGGGTGTGGCGGTCACATGGAGACACTCCAGACTGTTGTTAAACGTGGGTGTGGCGGTCACAGGAGACACTCCAGACTGTTGTTAAACGTGGGTGTGGCGGTGCACGTGGAGACACTTCCAGACTGTTAACCGTGAGTATGGCTGTGCACATGGAGACACTTCCAGACTGTTAAACGTGAGTGTGGCAGTGCACATGAAGACACTTTCACTGTTGGCACAGTTGTTTTTGCTTATTTTTGTGGTGCTACAGACTGAACCAAGGGCTCTGAGCATGCGCAGCAAGCACTCTCTCACTGGTGCATCCCAGTTTCCTTTTAAGGTTATGATCTGAAATCAGGTGGAAAAGTTGTCCAGAATGATCTTCACTTACTCTGTAGCCCAGGCAGGCCTTGAATTTAAAACACTTTTGCTGTAGCCTCGAGCATCTGGGATTCAGGCCTGTGCATCACACATCTGAGTATTTATTTCCTTCCTCTCAAATCGTGCAGACCCTGTTCCACTGAATCCTGCAATCTTCGGAATTTATGTTGATGATCCCACTCTGAGTTTTTGCACTTTACTGATTGCCTTGGTAAAGCAGAATTAGACAGGGTCACAGGTATCTCAGGAAGAAGTGATGAGTGGGTGTGAGATTTTTTTAAAATGAGTTCTGTGGACATCGTTGTGTTTGCATTTAAAACTGTGGTTAATACAACTTTTCAAAATGTCCTTAAAGATTACAAATATAAGAAGAAAGGACATTGGAAAAGCTTACAAAGTCAGCTTTGAAAGTAAAAATGATTACCACACTATCAATGGATCTTGCTTTACTGTTTATTTAAAATTTGGGGGGGAAGGGACTGGAGAGATGGCTCAGAGGTTAAGAGCATTGCCTGCTCTTCCAAAGGTCCTGAGTTCAATTCCCAGCAACCACATGGTGGCTCACAACCATCTGTAATGGGGTCTGGTGCCCTCTTCTGGCCTGCAGGCATACACACAATCAGAATATTGTATACATAATAAATATTTTAAAAAATTGGGCAGAAGAAATATACAATTTTAAAATATGTGATGAGGGAACTTTTTATCACATAAAGAGTTCCTGATGGTTTTAGTTAGCACAGAAAATATAGCTCTCCAATAATCTGTATTTTAGGGGGCTAAATATGGAAACAAAAGAATGCTGGGAAATTGAACTGATTCATATTTCACCTCAAATTGTTATTTTTTTGGCTTCAAGAAGCAGTCTTGGTGTGCAGTTCAATGGCAGAGTGCTTGTCCAGTAATAAATAATTGAAGCGCTCTGTGCTATAATAAGGGCACAATGGCAACCATTTATCTCAGGCAGTCTGGAAGGCACCTTAGCTCCAAGCACGTTGGCTGTTTTAAGGATGAGAATTGTATTCTCTACTGTTAGAAAATTTAGTTCCTGTTCTTAGCCTGTCCTTCAAGCAAATATTAAAGTTCTGTCATTTCTCCTGGAACTCAGCCTACCTCCTGTTGTTGCGTGTTTTGTATGCTTATCTTTAATGGCCCTTTCTTCTAAATTTCTGATCATTATTACTCTTCAGCTTGTGTTAAAGTTAAATAAGCATTAAGAGCAGACTGTCTGGTCATTTAGTTCAAACCACCCCAAATCTTGCCATCTTGGTTGAATTTGGTCTCTGCTGTACTCTACTTGTGAAGGCTTGAAACAAAGATGCACAGCTTTAACCCACAATCTCTTCACAGCCACCTCCAGACAAACTACAGCAAGACCTTCCAAAGAAGCAACGTGGACTTCCTGGAAACTCCGGAACTCACGTCGACGATGCTAGTTCCCGGTAAGCACTCTTGTGCATGGCCCTGCTTCTCTGCTTTTCTACCACACTTTCCTTTAAGGTAGCAGGGTCTCCTGCACTACCAATGGAGCATTCTTTCCAGCTTATTTAAAATTTGGGGTGGGAGTGGAATAAATATTGTCTTCTGTCCTTAATGACATTTGTTTCTAGCTGCATTAAACCTAGTACTGGTAGTTGTTTATCACAATTTTAGAAAAATTTAAGTCAACTCATATACTTTTTTTAAAAAAATCATGTTCTTTACTATTTTACAACTAGTACATTGAATGCAATGTGAAATAAGTGATCACAAGATAGTTGTTAGAATGTTAGAAACGTTCATTATAATAGTTGAAATACCAGGAGGAGAGAGATTTGGGATTGTCTAAGAAGTCTGAAGAAAGGTTAGTGTGACTGAGAAAATCCACTCGCTGTCTACCCATATACTCAGTTATTACTGGTGCATATTTACTGAGTAAGTAATGTGTGCGTGGTACTGAAGCTCTGGGATACTTTAGCCATTTCCTGCACTGGTTGGGAGTCTGTTCTGACCAACTATTTAGCTAGGAGCTAACTGATGTACAAAACAAAAACAGTCTCTAAGTAAGGGTAAAGTGCTGTCCACCCAGTATGACAAAAAGCTGTTTACAAAGGGCACACATTTACATAAAAACAAAACACAGATCAAGGCACAAAGTAGTCATCCCTGGAGACAACACGGGCTTTGTAGACTTACTTCAAGTTAAGGTGGAGAATCTCTCAATTAGGTAGATGAACAACAGTTTAGGGACCTTGATGACATGGATGCAGGGTGGACAAGAGTAGTCAGCATGAGTGCAGACTGACCAAGCAGGACAATGACCTACACCAGGAGCCGGCTGGGATTCCAGCTGCACAAGAGCAGCGAGATCAACTCTGAGTGAGGACATGTGCAGACAAGATAGGGAGGAAATGTCTTTCTGTAAAGATCTGGAGAGGAACAAGAGCCTCATTTACTCTGGAGAACCAGGACCGGCAGGATAAGACAGTATCAGCGTGAATGCAGGGAGGCCACGCACCTGGGGGCATTCATTCATGGTAAAGTGATTGGGAAAATGACACAGAAAACGGACTTTGACCAGACCACTGCTGAAAAGAGTCGTAATGGAGGGGTGGGGATCTGATGCTCTGGAGACCAGGTGGGAGATGGTGCTGCAGCTGGAGGAGGAGACAGGCGGCTGGGGGAGAGAGCTTCCAGTTTAACTGACCCCCACAGTCTAAGGCAGAGCTTGGTGTGCCAGGAGAGCTTCTGGGGACAAGAGTTCAGAATCTCTCACTGCATAGCTGGTTTAATCCTCAAACAAAAAAGCCATGAACACGGCTGGTTGGTATCTCAAGGTACCAGAAGTGTGCTTGACAGGCTATGAGGAAGAGACTGAGGAGGCCACATTCTGTTTATCTAGCAAGGTTTTAGCTTCACTATTATAGCAAGCTTAAACTTGCTGTTCTAATAGGTTCGGCCTATGACACAAATGATGTAAATATGACTGACTACAACCTTTGTCAATAGAATACCCAAAAAACGGGGCTAGCTTTTATCTGTTCATCTTTTCTTTAAGGCTGTACTGGTGCTATATGACACAACAGTCAAACACTGGTATTAGGCATGCAGATCTCTAAGGGCTAATAGTAATGTTTGTGTTTGCCATCAGATCTATTTTCAATTCTCCCAAAACTAAGCTTGTTGGTTTAAAAGGGTGAAAGTACTGTTTGTTCTTATAGATTTTCTGACCTGGATAGACCCAGTAAGTGGAAGGTCATGAGTTAGCAAGAAGGGCAGGAGAAATGGTATAGTAAGCACTGTAAACATAAAATAACCTAATGAGTTTTCTGATCCAGCATCATCATTATTTTGGATGTAATGTCATGAACTCTTCCATCACTGATACATGCATTACTCCGCTCCACTCTCTCAGTGGTCCATAAATCAGAGAAAACTGGGCACAAATAAAACTGGATCAACTCTCATCCCGAGGCTGAAGTTCGTGCAGTTTAGTTTATGTCCAGCTTTGCCTTCATTTCTATATCACACCTAATCTCGACAATGATAAATGGAACTTAACATAAGGAAAAAGTTAGTCTTGGCTTCTAACACAAATGGGAGCTCCTTTAATCTCAGCACTCAGATCTGAGTTCGAAGCCAGCCTGCTCTACAGAGAGAGTTCCTGGACAGGCTCCAAAACTGCATAGAGAAAGCCTATCAAGAAAGAGACAGAGGAGAGAGAGAGAAACTTACCTCAAATAAAATTTTAATATCCATTCATCCATTGGAACAACTCAACCTATTTTAAAGTTTCCCAGGTGTGGTTGCAGGAACACAACCCTGAACAGCAATCTGGAACCTAGACATTAGAGTTTTAACATTGGACCAGATTTGTGCATTTTGGATCTTATACCACAATGAAGGTTAGAAATGAAAACAAAACCATAGTCACTGCACAAATTTAAGTCTAGAAACTGAAAGCGGGACCTATGATGTTTAGAAACACAGAAGACGATGCATCTCAAATAAGCGGAACAACATCTAGACATAAGTATACAAACCAAAGTAAATCCCTATAAGCAATTAAATACAAAAGTCAACCGAAGCATACTGAAATACAGTGATGCAGGCCCACTAATCATAAACCATGCAGACACCAGGAGCTGGGGATTCAGCTCAGGAGCCAGAGTATCCTTTCCACAAGGGGAAGACGGCACAAGAAAGTAAGGTCTGAGGGCAAGCAAGATAATGGCTTTAAACGGAGCCTACCCCGTCTACCTTTACCACGGCGTGCCAGCAGCCGTATTTCTTTGTCATAGGTTGTGTTTAGGGGTTTATATTCAATGGGGAACACATTACTATAATATATAAATGTATTAAAAGCATTGCTTATATTACATATATTCAGACTGAAGCTGACTGAGGCATGTATGTAGTACCTGATGTTAGTGCCTAACAGCTGCTAGTGTCAATACAGTTAACACTAAGTGATGAGCAACATGGCTCCCCAGGGTGTTGGTGACCTTCCCATGACAAGTGTCACTCATCTGTAAAGTCCTCAGCGACAAGGTTCAAAAACCTACGTATAATTACACAGGAATAAGTCAATATCCCAAAGAGTCTAGAATTGAAAACTAGAAAAGCAACTGTGCAGACTGAAGAAGGGAATGATCTCCTTACAGTTTGGACTTATTTTCATTATTTTTTTTCTTCTTTCAGCTTCATGGTGGATCCTGAACAACAATTAGATGTCTCTACACATTACGGTCCCAAGTACAAGTGTTCTAATCTAAAATGCAAACTGGAAAGTTCTCTGTGGCTGACAAATGGCTCACTTTTGTTCAATGTGTTTACTGTAAGTACGCTATTCTGCAGTGTATTCTGGGACTATTTTCAAAGTTTATTGTTACTCTTGATAATTGATGCTAATTGATTTGCTACATTGTTGTTGGTCATTATAGCAAAATCCTAATAGATAAAAATGGCATATAGATAAAGCCATGAAACTGTAAGAGCTATGGTAAAATCTAGCCGAGACCTTCTGGAACATCATAGCATGTGCAGAATTGTATACTGGAGCATCATAACATGACAGGTTTGTACACTGTCACATGCTCTAAATGATTACATCCGTGTTCATGACTTTTTCAGTAACATTGTTCTGTGGGAGAGACATTCCTCAGTAAGGTTCACATGTCCATCACATGGTCCTCCAAATATTCCCTTTAATATTAACATAAATGCAGAAAACAAACTTGGCTGTAGCCTGTAGAAGCTCTGCCCATGTGTCATGTTGTAATCTGGTGTTTTGCAAGTGAACATTCCGTAGTAACTTATGGCATTTACTTATGTGACACTTTTGTTTGTTAGTATCATGATTCTTATATATAAGCTAAGCATTACTGATCAAACTTTGGGGAAATTAAAGTTTATGGCAGAAGGCTTTGGTATATAATCAAAATAGCTGATTACTATGAAAAGTGAACACTTGCATTTAGATTTTAAAAATCCATACTTTAAATCAAATTTCAACTCAACAGAGTAAAGAAATTTAAAACAAGCACAAAAGTTTAGTACTAAATACACCTATTTTATAGACTTTCCTGGGTGTGAGAAAGAATGTGTGAAAATGCATACATACAGACTGGATCCTATAACAAAAAGGAAACTCGTAGGTGACACACAACAATGACGCCATAGCATAAACATCTCATTCTTAGAAAGCAATACATTTCTGCTTAGTGAACGAGTTTGGGGTTTTGTTTCTGTCCCTTTCTCTGAGGTGAAAAGCAATGAAAACAAAGGTACTTTGTCCCCAGACCAAGTTGGGAAATCGACAGTGGCAGAAGCCGGTTTAGCCCTTCATGCTCAGGAGAAACAAGGCTGCGCTCCTCCTGGAGCGGGCTCATGCACACCTTTCTGACACATCATATGCACTTCAGTGCACTAAATTCCTAGGAATCAAAAGTTTCCTCAGTTCTTTACCCATATATATTCGTATTATGAGAAATTACAGAGCGGAAAAGTAACGTACCTCAGTTTATCTGCTAATGCCTGAATTTGTACTACCTCCTTTGGAAACAATCTCAATTTTACTTTTCGACTGTGACTCTGGGTCATACAGTCTGATGAGCGACATTAAGTATCAGCTACTTTTCCACTTCGGTTTTACTACCCCTGTTTTCAAAATGTTTCTCTACTCGTAGTTATGGGTCTAAGACCATGTTAAGACCATGTTATTAACAACCTAGGTACAAGCAATCACGTGATTGAGATGTCTATCAATGCTTTGAACACCTGAACCACTGCAGGAGCCGACACAGTGACCCGTTCAAGTGCTGATGGGAGATCTGTGGGAGAGAATAAGTGGCACTGGCTTTAAGGGCAACAAAATTATGCACCATGAATACGTTGTAGCAAGTAGTTTATATCTGAGAATCTTTACAGCTTACATTTCCATTCCATCATTACAAGCGGTGAAAAACAAGAGCTGCAAGTAGCATGCAAATTAGTCCTTTCCCACCTCCCCCATGGCACCCACTCTCCAGCCACCTCCCAATTTCTGCAGGAACTGCCTGTAAAGCTGAAATTGATTAGAAAAATTTTATAGTTTACAATATCTCTTCCTCATTTTATGAGAAGCCAAATAGCCAACCATCAAAAGTAAAAATAAATTGAATCGTCACAGTCCATCAGTTATTGTTACTAGGTTCACTTCATTTGCAGGTGTCCAAAATATAATATGAATAATTCTTTATCTTCAAATTCATCTGTTCTTAAAATGCTACTTAAAACTTTGGTTGTTTTCCTGTAATATAGAAGAAAGATAACTTATCAATTAGACTAATGAAATAGTTTTCACAAATTAGCTTATCAACCAAATACTATGAATCTACTTACATGTAAATGCATGTTACTATAGAAACTATTAAAGTAACAAACTATCAAATACACTTGTTTCACCAAACCTATGTAATCCATTTTTAAATTTTAATAGTAAATTGTATTCTAAATCTGTTACGTTTCTGTGGTACCTAGTTTTATAAATGTTGCTAATGCATAAAGCAAAAGTATACAATTTTCATGTATATTTATCCAAAATAAGTTTGTCAGGCTTTTATTAACAAAATAAAGTGTTAATGAATCATTTAAGCCTGGAAATAAAAAGTGATTGTGTTTTATGTAAAACTAAAATTTATATTCTTACAAACCAAGAATTCTTCAAACAAGTGAGAAAATTCAAGTATTTAATACCTTTTTCATCAAATATTTCTTTCTTAAAAATGTTATTATTAAAAATTTACTTCCTGATTTAATTTGAAAAAGAAATGGCTACGGAGCTAGTGAAGGCCTGCCGCTAACCTTGACAACCTGGGTGTGATCCCTAGGACCTCCGAGTGGGAGAATAGTGACTCCTGCAAAGTTACTGTGACTTCTGAACATATGCAGTGTCGGACACGCACACATACATACACAACAGCCAAAATAAAACCCTACTAAAGGTGTCTAACTGATGGAGGCACCTAAGTTGTTAGGAAGCTTCAATTGAGAAATGTATTTATAGAAACAATGAATATAAACAACTTTAACATCTGACCAAGGAAATATATTTTATTTATGATGTATATATGCGCCAACTGAAGCACAGATAACAAATGCATGGAGGCCAAGTGGGAATGTCACGTATCTTGCTCTATGACTTTCACATATTCTCTCGAGATAGGGTGTGTCATTGAACTTGGAACTCAGATGACGGTCATGACCCTCCTGTTTCCGTAAGTACCCACACACAACTTTTTATATGGGTTCTAGGGATTCAAACTCAGGTGCTTATACCTCTGTGCCCAGTGCTCCTGCCCAGTGAAACATTATCCCAGCCCCATGACTGTGGAAATTGTAGAGATTTTTCAAAACTTAAAATTCCAAAAAGAGGAAAAGGAGATTGTATTCTATACCATAGTGGAGCTCTGCTCAGCAAACTTAGTGCTGAGTCTCATCTTAAAATTATAAGATATCTGAAGGATTAAGAGGAGACAAATTAGAAAGTAAGAAGTCAAAATATCGCTATTTGAAGGTGACATGATAGTGCACATAAGTGATCCCAAAAACTACCAGGGAACTCCTACAGCTGATAAACATTTTCATGAATGGGTTGGATACAATTTTTTAAAAAATCAGTAGCCCTCCTATATACAAACAAACAGGCTAAGAAAGAAATCAGAGAAACACCACCCTTCACAAAAGCCACAAATAATATAAGCTACCTTGGGGTAGCTCTACCCATAGAAGTGAAAGACTTGTATGACAAAAACTTAAAATCTTTGATGAAAGAAATTGAAAATATTAGATCTCCCATGTTCATGGATCAGTAGGATTAACATAGTAAAAATGACCATCTTTTTGACCATCTTATCAAAAGCAATCTACAGATCTAATACAAACCCAATTAAAATTCCAACAATTCTTTACAGACCTTGGAAGGACAATACTCAATATGGAAAAACAAAAAATCCCAGGATAGCTAAAACAATCCTGTACAATAAATAGAACTTACAGAGGTATCACCAGCCCTTATTTAAAGTTATACTACAGAGCTCTAGTAATAAAAACCACATGGTATTGGCATAAAAACATACAGGCTCATCAGTGGAATCAAAAACCCCACACAAATCTATACACCTAAGTTTTTATAAAGAAGCTATAAATACACAATGGAAAAAAAAAACATCTTCAGCAAATGGTGCTGTCTAACTGGCTGCCAGCACATAGAATAGTGAAACTAGATCCTTACCCATCACCCTGCAAAAAACTGAAGTCCAAGTGGACCAAAGACCTCAACATAAAACCAGATACACTGAACCTAATAAAAGAGAACGTGGGGGAATAGCCCTGAATGTGCACAGGAGACTACTTCCTGAACAGAACACCAATCGTGCAAACACTAAGACCAACAATCATGAAACTGAAAAGCTCCCATAAGGCAAAGGACAACATCAACTGGACAAAATGGCAGCCTATAAAATGGGAAAGGATTCCAGCAACTGCAATCTGACAGCTAATATCCAAAATATATAAAGTCAACCTAGACATAAACAAATCAAATAACCCAATTAAAAGGTACGGTGCAGATCTCTAAAGATTTCTCAACAAAAGAATCTAAAGTGGCTGATAAATGCTTTTAAAAAAAAAATGCTCAACATCCTTAGCCATCAGGGAAATGACTGAGATCCCATCTTATAACAGTCAGAAAGACTACGACCAAAGCACAAGTGACAGCTCACACTGGTGAAGATGTGGGTTATGGGGAACACTCCTCATTGATCGTGGGAGTACAAACTTGTAAAACCACTATGGAAATCATTTTGGTGGTTCCTCAGAAAACTGAGAATCCATCCACCTCAAGACCCAGATATACATATACCAAAAGGACTCTTCATCCTCCAAGGACACTTGCCTGGTGTTCTGGTGGTCCAGCTAAGGGGGGCGTCTCTGACTCTTGCCTGCACTTGGGATCCTTTTCTTCCCATTTAGTTCCCTCATCCAGTCTTGATATGAGGGTTTGTACCTAATCTTATTGTAACTTGTTATGCCGTGTTTGGTTGGTATTACTGGGAGCCTGCTCTATTTTTGTAAGGGAAGTGGAGGAGGGGAAGAGTTGCTGGGGATTGGTGGGAGTGGGTGGAGGGAAACTGTAGTTGGGATGTAATATATGAAAAAAAAATTAAAAATGAAAAAAAAGAAAATACTTTTACCTAAATAAAATAGTGGTTTGAGAATAAAAAAGTCAAGTAGAGACCAAAAAGAGCAGAAAAAAGTGAATGCAAAGTGACTGATGGGAAGGCACGTTACTTGTGTTCTTATGTTATCATCCTACCCACACAGAAGTCCTCATCTTCAAAGCAAAAGTGGGGTTCAAGGTAAGTTAGTGCCCAAGTTTGAACTAGCGATATACAGAGAGAAACAGGAATTGAAGTGTCTATCACAGGTGTAGTAGGGAACCCATGGCCTTACCTGTAAGCATCGAGCAGGGTGCAGCGCACACTACTGTGTATATTTTCATACATTTGGTGGTTTGGTATGGAAATGTAAGGGGCTAAGTAGCAAAGTAAAGATTAACATGAGTGGTCTGTATAAAAGAAGACACTGAACAGAATATAGTGAGCCTACAAATAAGCCAGGTGCACATTACCACAAGGTGTCAGCACACTATCCGTTCTTTAGATATTGCTAGGATGACTAGATATCCACACCAGGAAAAAAAATGAAAGAAACTTCCACTTCATATTGCTATAAAGAAAATTTCAGGCAGATTATAGAACGTAGTTGAAAACTAAGGACTTTTTGGCTGCTAAGTGAAGTGTGTTTTCATAATCTTTTGGCTGAAGGGTTTTAGCATACAGAAAATCGGAATTATTTTGTTATAACTCTTAAGTAGAATAATGATCATTTTATGATTGTTTATATGAGTACATTTAGAATTTTGTGCTCTTTGTACCACCATTACCTTATGATACAGAATGTTAAAATTCTTAATTTATAAAAATCAAATGTTAAAAACAAAACACCTGAATACAATTGTGCAATAAAAGATCAGCAAATGACTCACTGGGTTTTGAAGTACAATAGGATGATCAGGCAGAAAGTCTGGTTTTTTTCTGCAGATGGAAACACTTGAAAGCTTCAACAAGAAATCTCTGCTGTACTTAATTCTCTCTGTAGATAGTAAGATTTAAACATAATTATAGAAATACTAAGATTTAAACATAATTATAGAAATACTATCCTAGATAGCTTTTTTACTCTACTTTGGAGGTCTCTAAATTGCCCACTATTATTTTGAATGGGCATGCAGTATGTGCTGAAAAGATGGGAGAAGCTCATCAAATCTTCCTTTCTCATGGAAAGGAAGACAAGAAAGGAAAAAAGAACTGTATGAAAAAATGGGTAATACAGGGCTTACTCGGGTATAGCAAGATGACCTAACATTATAAAGTGTAACAGCAGCAATATACATTGCCAACAGATATTAATACCTATTGTAATATTCAGATCACAATAAAATGGAATCACAGTGGGCCTATCTAATCTCAGTACTGTAATTTTAATACAATCAAACAAATTCAAAAACATTATATGCCTGTTGTATATCAAGAACTACACAAGGTGAATGTAAGGAGTTCCGAGATGGGGTCCCTATCTTCAGGCCACCACCTATTCAGAGATCTGCCAATTTCTCATCAGGAATCATCCAGAAACTATCATCAATACTGACTATATGCTGATGTTGAAAGCAATGGCCGTAATATTCTAAAAGAACTAAAAGAAAATAACTGACAAATTTCTTATCAGTATGGGGAGAAAACCCCACAAGAATTCTACTAATACTCTCTCAAAGGAAAGCTAAAAGAATTCACTATCAGACCTAATGAACAAGACATGCTAAAAGGAGGTCATTCAAGTTGAAGTGAAATGACCCTGGATGGAAACTTTCTGCTTCAAAAATCAAAGAGCTGGCCAAGAATAACAGACTCCTGCTCTTTCCTCTAAATTGTATCAAAACGTGTGTCACTATTAAAAGCTAAAGTTCCAATGTGGTCTGGTATGTTTCTAGGGTATAGATGTATAGGGTAGCCTGCAAATATGCCCAGAAATGTATCATCACCATAGGCTTGAAATAGTACAATACTAGGAACCCTGGAAAACAGATTGCTCCAATACTGAGGAGAACTGGGAGGTAAGTCAACAACCACAGGGCTGAACAGTCAGATGCCCAACTCTCTAGGACCTCTCCAGTGGGACAAAAACCAGGGGCCCTGCCACAGCCCCCTCAGCTTTTCTAGACAGCCAGAAGGGAGTATTCCTGTGGCTGGGATATTCCCCAACCTACCCCACCCCCACCTGTTCACCTGCAAGCTCAGAGGAACCCTGGAACACAGCTTGCTCCAATACTGAGGAGACCTAAGAAACAGCCACAGCAAGGATTGGACTAAGATGCTAAGACATTTGCTGGCCTCATTTGAAGGAAGAGCTTGGTAAGTGCCAATGCAAGAATTCCTCCAACATCCTAAAAGGCAACACAGTAACACCAGAACCCAGAGGACACACAAAAGGAAGACTTGATCATTCTAACCCAGAAGAAGTAAAAGAAAATGACTTTAAATGTAACTTGATGAAAATGATGGAGACCTTTAAAGCAGAAGTAAAAAACTCCCTTAAAGAAATGGAAGAGAAGACAAAAAGTTGGAAGAAATTAATCCCTCAAAGAAAACCAAGAAAAAACAAACAGTTGAAGGCAACAGGTTCAAGATTTGAAAATTGAAATAGAGGTAATAAAATGAGAGAATTCTAGATATGGAAAATCTGGGTAAGTGAACAGGAACTACAAAAATAAGTATAGCCAACAGAATATAAGAGAAAAGAATCTCAGGCACTGAAAATACTATAGAGGAAATAGACTCATTGGTCAAAGAAAACATTAAATCTAACAAATTCTTAAAACATTCAGGAAATCTGGGAAACCATGAAAAGACCAAACTTGAGAATAATAGGGGTAGAAGGAGAAGAATTACAGCTCAAAGGCCCAGAAAATATATTCAACAAAATTATAGATGAAAACTTTCTCAACTTAAAGAAGTATATCCCTATGAAGGTACAAGAAGCATACAGAACACCAAACAGACTGGATCAAAAAAACCTCACCATATAATAATCAAAACACAAAACATACAGAATAAAGAAAGAATATTAAGAGCTGCAAAGGAAAAAGGTCAAGTAACATAAAGGTAAACCTATCAGACTTACACCTGACTTCTCTATGGAAACCACGAAAGCCAGAAGGTCTTGGATAGATGTGCTGCAGACACTAAGAGACCATGGATGCAAGCCCAGACTTATACCCAGCAAAGCTTGCATTCACCATTGGAGAAAACAAGATATTCCAGGACAAAAACAGATTTAAACAATACGTTGCCACAAACCCAGCCTTTCAGAAAATACTAAAAGGAAAATCACAAACCAAGGAAGCCAACAACACCCATAACAACACAAGCATCTGACAAACCTCCACCAGCACAACTCAAAGGGAAACACACAAACTCTACCACCAGAAAAATAACCGCAGTTAACAACCACTGGTCATTAATATCGCTGGACTCAATTCACCTATAAAGGCACAGGTTAAGAGAATGGATACAAAAACAGGATCCAACCTTCTGCTGTTTACAAAAAAACATACCTCAACCTCAAAGACAGACACTACCCTCAGAGTAAAGGGTTGGGAAAAGGTTTTCCAATCAAATGGACCTAAGAAACAAGCGGGTGTGGCTATCCTAATATCTAACAAAATTGATTTCAAACTAAAATCAATCAGAAGAAATAGAGAAGGACACTTTATACTCATGATAGGAACAACTCATCAAGATAAAGTCTCAATTCTGAATTCAAGAGCACCCACATATGTAAAAGAAACATTACTAAAACTTAAATCACATCAAACCCCACACACTAAGAGTAAATTTCAACACTCCTCTCTTGCCAATGGACAGGTCAACCAGACAGAAACTTAACGGAGAAACAAGAGAACTAACAGATGTAATGAATCAAATACTTAACAGACATCTATAGAACATTCCACCCAAACAAAAAAAGAACATACCTTTTTCTTAGCACTCATGGAACCTAAAATTGATCACACTCATGGAACCTAAAATTGATCACATACTCAGTAACAAAGCAAACATCAACAGATACAAAGAAATTGGAGTAACCCTGTGTCTAATCGGATCATCATGGCGTAGTTATAATTTAATACCAATATTACTCCCAGAAAGCCTACAAACTTGTGGAAACTTAACTACTGAACCACACCTGGGTCAAGAAAGAAATTAAAGTCTTCCTTGAATTTAATGAAAATGAAGGCTAACCTATGGGACACAATGAAAGCAGTGCTAAGAGGAAAGTTCATAGCACTAAGAGCCCACATAAAGAAATCAGAGAAAGCTCATATTAGCGAATTAACAGCACACCTGAAAGTTCTAGAAAAAAAAAAGATGCAGACTCACCCAGGAGGAGTAGAAGAGAGTAAATAATAAAATTGAGGGCTGAAATCAAAATAGAAACACAGAAAATACAAAAAATCAATGAAACAGAGCTGATTCTTTGAGAAAATCAACAAGATTGACAATCTTTATCCAAACTAATCAAAATACAGAGAGAGAACATCCAAATTAACAAAATCAGAAATGAAAAGGGGGACATAACAGACACTGAGGAAATTCAGAGAATCATTAGGTCTTACTACAAAAACCTGTACTCCACAAAATTGGAAAATGTAAAAGACTTGGACAGTTTTTTATATAGATACCATATACCAAAATTAAATCAAGACTAGGTGAGCAATTCAGATAGACCTATAAACTGCCAGGAAATAGAAGCTGTCATCAAGAACTTCCCAAACAAAAACGTCCAAGGGCTGAATGATTTTAGTGCAGAATTCTACCAGAACTTTTAAGAACTAATACCTATACTCCTCAAAGTGTTCCACACAATAGAAACAAACTCTTTTAATGAGGCTACAGTTACCCTGATAAAAAACAACACAAAGACTCAACCAAGAAAGAATTACAGACCAATCTCACTCATGAACATCGATGTAAAAATTCTGAATAAAATAGTGGCAAACCAAATCCAAGAACACATTTAAAAAAATCATCCATCATGATCAAGTAGGCTTCATCGCAGAGATGGAGGGCTGGTTCAACATATGAAAATCTATTAACGTAATCCATCATATAAATAAACTGAAAAACTGCATGATCATTTCATTAGATGCTGAAAAAGCATTTGACAAAATTCAACATCCCTTCATGATAAAGGCCTTAGAGAGATTAGGGATACAGGGATCATATCTAAATATAATAAAACAATATACAGCAAGCCAACAGCCATCATCAAATTAAAAGGAGAGAAACTCAAAGTGATTCCACTAAAATCAGGAATTAGACAAGGCTGTCCACATCTTGCCTCCACAGGCATCAGGCACACATTTGGGGCACAAAATACATATACACAAATTTTAAAACACATGAATGTTTCTCAAATATGTAGAATGTGACTGAAATGTAGCTTCATTTCAACCAAATTCTTATTTCATCAAAGGTTTTGGGCAATACTATGGCTGATTACATCACATATTTGAGTCATAGACCATGGAGAACTCTAGCTGATGACCTGAAAGATTTTCCCCACTGGATAGCTTGATGTGGGATTCCCCTCTGTATGCTGTGAATTTTATTGGTTAATAAAAATGACTGGCTTGGCCTGATAGGGTGGGACAGAACTAGGCAGAAAAAACTAAATTGAATGCTGGAAGAATGAAGGCAAAGTCAGGAAGAAGCCATGGAGCGGCTGCCAGAGACAGACACATTGAAACCTTGCTGGTAGGCCATGAGCCTCATGGTAAAATATAAAATAAGGGAGATGGGTTAATTCTAAATATAAGAGCTAACTAGCAATACACTTAAGTAATTGGCCAAGCAGTGATTTAATTAATACAGTTTCTGTGTGGTATTTTGGGAGTCTGAACCACCAGGAAATGAACAAGCAGCCTCCTTACTACACTAGGTGCTAAGAACACTACCAGAGGAAAAAAGCAACCATCAATTTTACCCCACTAATCTCGAACCTCGGGAGCTACAGCAATGACTAGGCTGGTAAGCCATGCCCACTGTAGCAGCACGTTACAGCAGATACTATCAGTTGCTTTGATTTGGATTTAAGGCCAGTTCCACAACATGAAACCCACACTTGCACCACAAGTCCATGAGCTACAGGGGAGAAGTTACTACTTTAAAAAAAAATGTTTTGAAGGAAAATACCCAGAGACATGCTACACTAGCAGAAGAAAGCACACAAGGCTTTGACTCTAGACAAAGAACATGCTGAAATCTGGAGTCATCTTCCCAGAGAAGAACATTTCAATTGGTTGTGCGAAACCAAGTAGCCATCCCTACAAGTTACTACTTTTACTCTGCTAAGTAAATAAAGTATTAAAGTGACTGCTAATGACTAAGATTAATGCATCTCTCACTTTTAACCAAGAAGCTTCCATTCTCAGTAAATGATGAACAAAGAGACTCACAACTGACCATGGTGCAGAAAATAAGACACTGCAAAGTTATCAACCCTAAATGGAACAGACACACTCCACCCCTCCTCCAGAGGCTCAGAGATCATTGAAGAAGAAGTAACAGAAGAGTAAAAGCCAGAAGTTTAGCTATTAGGAAAGTGTCTCCTTGTCACAGAAGGGCAGAGGCTTGTATGAACCCACAGAGGCTATGAGAGCATACACAAAACCAATACAAGCCCCAGTCACACAAATCGCAATATGGAGAGGAGACTTGTGCATTAAGTCCCTTCCCTAGCAAAGGAGCTGTTGGCAACTGTTAGCTGCTAGGAGAGGGAAGCTCAGTGCTCTCCAAGATTACAGCTCTTGATAATTGACCACAATCCAGTGGAACACCACACATCTAGGAATAACTGAGGAGCAAAAATTTGTCTTGATGGATTTCACAAAGTAAAAAGACACAGAATTGGATTGGTGGGGAAGCAGGGGTCTGGAGGTTGTTGTGAGAGGAAGATATGCATGATGAAAGCACACTGTGAAAAATTCTCAACTAATAAAATGTGCATATAAGGAAATGTGTTGTTCTGTTTGTGTTCTTAGAACAGTATTCTAGCTAATATAGAAAGAAAAGTTTATAATTCTGGTGACTGGAAAATCCAAACAACACGGCATCTGGGAGGTAAAGAACCCGGACTTCATCTTAACATGCCAGGACGCATTTAGCACAGGAGGCATGACCACGTTAGAGACTGGCTTTAACCTAGTGTAAAGACTGTCTCCACTGCTGCCATTCTAACGGGGAACTGAGCATCAACAAGAGGTTTGTGGAGACAAATCATATGACTCTTATCATGAACCATACGAATAATAAAATAAGTATATACAAGCAATGACCGAATAAGCTATACTAAAATGCTGGGGTTGGGTGGCAAACTAAACCCAAAGTAAGAAAAATGAATTTACAATCACCAAAGACAAAACAAAGACAAAGCTGGTTCTCTGAAGAATAAAAACAAAATTTACTATTATCTAAGTAGATTAATCAACACAAAACAACCCAAATGACCATTCTCTGGAAGAATAGTGGAGTTCTTATCAGACATTAGTTATAAAATAAGATAGAATGAGCAACTTCTTACCAACATTCAACATGGAAGAAATGGCTACACAAATATTTGAACACAGATTTTGAATTTCTTTGATATGGCAATTTGAAAATTAGAGTCTATACTATAGAATTACTATAATTAAATAATAATGATAAACTATGAATTCCAAGTTCTATCAAACAAGTAGATTCACAGATACATCTACCTACAAGGTTACTCTAAAACAGTATGATGGAATCATACATTTACCTAGTCTATAGTAAAACAATCCAACTTCTACTACAGAGAAATAAAAAGATCCAAACAATAACTTCTTATATGAATAATATCAACCATAATCAAAAGTTGTAATGCAAAAGGATAAATAAAATGTATATAACCATACAGTGGAATTCCTACCAACCACTTATCAAGGAAAAAAAAAAGTAATTCACAAGAAAGTGATTAACTGCTTGATTGCAAGAATAGGCAAGTGGGAAAGAAGTGAGCGTGTTTTGTGATGAAAATGTAGCAATGCTCACACAATTCTGCATTTTAGCAAGTAGACAAGCCACACACCCACAAAGATGATCTCTGTAATAAATACATTGTGTCTCTCGATGAAGCTCCTAAGGAATAGATCTATCCTGTCCGAGAGGAGAGGAAGAAAGTGACAGCTTCTGCTGTAAACAGTGCTGTGTAGAAAGAAGCAGCTAATAATAATAAGATGGGCTAATCACCCTGATGGGAAGGGCTGAAAACTAAGGATTTCTAACTTCAGATTGGACCACGCTGTCACAGGATGGATGGATGGATGGATGGATGGATGGATGGATGGATGGATAGATAGATAGATAGATAGATAGATAGATAGATAGATAGATAGATAGATAGATAGATTGATTTTTTTAAAAAAAGATATTAGCAAAATGAGCCCGTACACACAGAGGGGTGAGAGGCTGTTCAGAGGGTAAAGAATGACCATGGAAATATAAAAAAACTAGTAAGCCAATGTTTTTAATAACAGACTCAAATAGGGGCTTTAGAAAAGGAACAGAGAGAAAAATAAAGGAGAGAAAACTACCAAAGAAATGCACAAAAGCTCTCCACACCAAAGGCCCCACAGCTCCGTGTTGAGGAAGCTCACTGTCTGTCTGATCTACAGCCTTGTCTTTTCTAGCTCTTTCGTGGACATGAGAACTTAAAATAGCTCAGGTTTTGTGTCTTCCTTATTTAAAGCATGCATGTTTGAAAGCTCATCTTCAGCTGAAATTTTCTGTCTGGCCAGACTATCAGTCAAGTGGGAACGTGGAAGAACGCCATTTTCAAACTGATAGACTTGAAAAAGTCACTGATTCAACATCCTTCTTCCTAAGTTTCTGGAGACTGTGCTTGAGCAAAGACAGGCAGTGAGTGAGGACAAGGTGACCATCTGGAGGAGCCTGAGTGACGTCGTGGGAAAGAGCCAAGTTGGGACCTGGAAGTTTTCCCCCATCAGAATGGCAAGCTGGTGAACAACTGGAAGAATCAACATTCTCTGAACTCTATAATTTCATATAAGCTTAATCTGTTTGACAAACACTCCCAGGACAAGAGCTGGCATTTCCAACAAGCATGTGCCTGTACACTGATTACAAGACATGATATTTCAACATGGTAATATTCCTCCCGAATAATCCATAGATTCAATGTCATAACTATCAAAATTTTAATATCCTCTATTACATAAATGGAAAATCTGATCCTAAAAATATGAAATTTTAATGAACCCCAAATATCTTAAACTATCTTGAAAGTGAATAGCATTAGAGAGTTTATGCTTCCAAATATCAATACTTTCAGCCGGGCGATGGTGGCGCACGCCTTTAATCCCAGCACTTGGGAAGCAGAGGCAGGTGGATCTCTGTGAGTTCGAGACCAGCCTGGTCTACAAAGCAAATTACAGGACAGGCTCCAGAGCCACAGAGAAGCCCTGTCTACAAAACAAAACAAAACAAAAAAAAACCTCCAAATATCAATACTTTCTACAAGCTACAGTTGTCAGTGTGATGCCAGCAAAAAGGGTTAGAACTCAGTGTTCATAGACAAATACCAGTGTCCAAATCACCCAATTCCCAATAAACCTTCCAAGGCCCTTCAATGAGGAAAAGGTGTCTTTCTTTAGTAATAGCTACATTATAGAAGAATAAAGCTGTGCATCTCAAAGTCTCCAAATATATCCATAAATTTGCTCAAAGTGCATCAAAAGACCAAACTTTGTAAAAGTATGAAGCCCCAAAGGGAACAAGGGCAAATGCTCATAAAAGCTGGCACTCATTTTTCACATCTAATCCTAAAATACAGCAACAAAAGAGAAGCACAATTCCAGAGTCATCCAACTAAAATGCTGAGCACTGAAAGAACAAATGTGCCCCAAGACTGGGGCTAACAACTGAAAATCAGATATCTGGTATCTGATAGGGGTCAAATATCCAAAATGAAAAGGAAGGGGAAGGGCAGGGAAGGAGACAGAGGGAGGGAACAAGAATGAGTATGTAGTGTATATGATGTATGTATGTATTATGATGTATGTATGTATGTACAGTACAAGTCAATCAAACAACCCAATGGAAAATTTGATAAAATGTGCACCCTTCCATCTCACTGAAATCATTGTTCTTCTGGTGTCTCCAGAGAGCAGAGAAACCAGCATAATGACTGACCCAAACAAATCACCCCAGAGGCCAACAACAAAGAGCGCTCCCCTCCTGTGAGTACCTGTCTTAACTGGAGACTGGTGCTGCTGCTGCTGCTCGGTCAGACCTTGAGAAAAGGCTTGCATTCCATTCGTCTTGCACTGTTGAGTAAGGAAACAAACTTTTAAACTTGGATCTGAAATGTCTATGAACTTTTTTTTAACATTCAGAAGTATTTTTATAAGCTCTAAAATATTAATCAAGGAATACTTGGAGCTAACTGATAAACCCTGAGAAGTTTGCTTCTTAAAGTGATCAGCAGAAAGTGGTATTCTGCTGTATTACTGCCCCAGCATTCAGGCCGCAGGGGTAGGGAGGGCTGTGAATTCAAGGTCAGCCTGGGCTACACAGGGAGACAGCATTCCAAGTCCCTCTCAGCTCACTACTCCCTATGAGCGCTGCATGGGGGCTGGGGACAGAATTACCCAAAACCAAATAGTTATTGCCATTGCCCTTGGTTACCCAACGCGACTAGAAGGTTGTAGGATACCAAGACATCAAACTGGAACCAACCTGAAAATTTCCTCCCTCTGGCTGGTTTTTATATTGCCAAAATATGCTATACAGGCCACCGTGGAGCAAAGCATCAGTGATCTTACCCATTGATAAACCCTGTATGCTGCACAATAGTACCTGCCACTCAAGGTGAGACGAGCAGGGACTCAGTGGCATGCATGCTACACAGCTAAGTAATCACATTCTATTGACAATTCAAGCCCATTTTACAGAAGGGAATTCAGGCCTGGTGCTGTAAACCTGGCCAAAGCCCATGGATTGTGAGGTAATAAACTCTAAGAATGGTTTACTACTGCTGCCTTGCTAAATGGATATGTCTATGTGCTTTCTAAATATGTATGCCTACACTCCATCCTTGGCCACAGGAGTGTTGCTTCTATCCTGGTGACAAATGAAAACCTGTGTGTTATGTGGTGCTAACTTGCCAATCAAGGTGTGACCAGTAGTGGAACAGACATGTATGTCATGCCGTTAATCAGCCATATTCTGTTAGTATGGGGGTAGTTAATTCAAAGGGTCACAACGGTCAAAGTGAATGTTGACTTCTCAACCCTAAATGGAACACCAGTATCTCTCTCACCCCTCTGGACTCAGAGAAGAGCCCCAAAGTGGGGGTGAAAGAATATAAGGTAGGGAGGATTGCTCTGAAATTCTTCTGGATACAGCATGGGCATTGAACTCACAGAGGCTAAGGTTGCCAGCCCAAACCTGCACACCACTGAGCCCTTCAACATTCTAACGTGGGTGGCAGAGGGGAATATGCCAGATGGGGACTACTGGCATTAATAGGAGCTGGAAGAGGAGTTCTTTTCCTTCAGAGGCGCGGACACTGGTATGGTGTTCATGACCCACTAAGCAACCCCACTAGCACACACATGCAAGCAATGCTAACTACACTCAGGGGGTTGTAAAACACACACATGCTTTGCACAAATAAATACATGTAAAAAGTGTATTTCTCACATTTAAAATTGTAGTAGATGGTTAACTCGAAAACTGCTACTTCAAAGCAAGGCCTAACATCAAAGGTAAAGTTACACTTTTTCATGTTTTTTTATATTAAAATAACCATTATCTAAAATATTTCATACATGCAAAAATTACCCTGAGGAGTAAATGGGGGGGGGGGGTAAGGGAAAGGTGGGTGGAGCGGGAGGAAGGGAGGGAGTAGGAACTAGGATTGGGATGTAAAATGAGAAAAGATTGTTTTTAAATAAAAATAAAAATAAATGATAATGACAGAAAAAATATGCTAAAAGTTTTGCAAAGTGATTATATGTTCTGTGACTTAACTGTCATAATCATGCAAAGGTAAGCGTGATCGTCATGTTTACAGTCAGAGTACAGACCAGAGTTTTGTGACTAAGCCAAATGTGCAGAGCAGAGCCGGCTGGGCTGGGTTTGAGGTTTGCTGCTGTAACAGCTATGAAGGGTGTGCCACCTGACAGAGCCTTCGCCATAGCGATGCCGACTTTTAACGACCAGGGACAAAATATGACAAACCTGTAATTTTTCAATAATATTTTTGGTTTTCTTCTGATTCTAACAAAGATACTAGTTAGTTAGCAGTAGCCCTAATGAACACGGCCACTTAAGAAACACAGGGTTACCCATAAAACAGGGGTACTGTGGTTTGAATTGGAAATACAAAGAAAAATATGATCTCTCTTCTTGGAAACTTGCAAATTCCCAAATATGAAGAAGCAACTCTCATAGACCATATTCTTAAAATATTTGCTGTGTATATAAGAAAACCAAAACCCAAAATATATTTCAAAGGAATTTTTTTTTTTAAAGAGGACAACATAAGAGAAAACGGGCAATGGTGTGAAATTGGCAATTCTCTCTCTACATATAAAACCACATCTAACTAAACTCATGAAAGATACCAATTCTCAAGCCACAGAGAACAAAAACTGAAAGCAACACAAGAATTCACAACTACTTAGTAAGAAACTAGTGTGACACCCGATAATAACAAGGAAGGAAGGCCTTGGGGGGCACAAGTCCCATGCTCTCTACTCAGAGCTCACCTCAGTGCGTGACCTGAGCAGCAACAGAGCTGAGGGGGAGAACATTGCTTTAGGCTTTGTTTTGATTTGTTTTTTGTTTTTTGAGATAGGGTTTCTTTGCATAGCCCTGGCTGTCCTGAAACACACAGAGATCCACCTGCCTCTGCCTCCCGAGTGTAGGGTTAAGGATGTGCACCACCACCGCCTGCAAGAACATTGTTGTTCACAGCAGTCCTGTCCTGGTGTTGTTTGTTTGTTGTTTTTATCACAGAAAGCCTTTCAATCTTGAAAAAGTGAAAAGTGCCCTGGACGGTCACGGCTACATTGTTATGTGCTGTCTCCATCGGCACCCACAGGGCTGCTCCATTTGTTAAGCAATTGCCTCATATTCATGTTAATGCTTGTGTCTCGCAGCTTGATTCCGGAAGATCTGACAGAATATCTACTTATGTTACTAGGAAAAGGGCCAGCAGGGAAAGGACTCGGGCCAGAAGGAAACCTTCACTAATTATCTTTTAACATCAACATTAATGTGAAAGAAAAATTTAAAAATAAAGTTATTAAAATAATTCTATTATATCAAAAATTCAAAATACATTCAAGGAAAAAATAACAACTAGGATAGTTAGTTCTTGGGAGGGCAACAAGAAAAGAGAATTTTAGAAAGATATACACAAGGTTTTGAATTGTCAAGCTTTTAACTTTAAATTTTTTAAACAAATATAGAAAAAGATTTACATTTTAAAATGCCGAGTGAGAAGAATACAGCTGGTGTGCAGTCTTTAATGTATTATGAAATATACCTTAACATTTAAAAAAAAGCATACAGCCACTTAGCAATGTCATTTACAGTCTATAGTGTGCACATACATCTTACATAGACACACAAGCTAACCGAAACCCTGGATAAGCATGTGCTGTGCCTTGAGCTACTCCCCAGCCCCGTCTGTTATTATGACTTACTCTGCCAACTCCACTTTGTAAGCACTGAGTGTTACATGGATATTCATTCTGAAAGTTAAAAGGGAACACTGGTCCTGTAAGAAGAGGGAAAAACTATTCTAAATATTCACATGTTCAATAAATGATATACCATAGTCTAATAAGCAAGGATGTCTGTGACATCTTTGGCATTGTTACAAAATATTTATGATAGTTAATTATACAACAAATATTTGCTCCACCCTCTGACGCCATAGCTCGTTAGGAGATGGGTGGGTAATGAGCATCTAGAAGATGTCACAGTCTAAAAACAAGCTCATAAGTAATAGTATAATTTCATATACAGTAAACTACTCTCTCACTGTGAGCTTGAGAGAAATCATGGGGTTGCCATAGTTGATTGAAGGTACCAGGAAGGCTTCACAAAAGAAGTAATTTAATCTGCATTTGAAGGAAAAGAAAATTCTTCTGAGGACCTTGAGCTGGCCAAGACTGGAAATGTGTTGAGAAAGCCCCAGACTGATTTTTATTTTAATTTGGTGTTCTCTGTAACAAGCTCTACTTCACTGTACCTTAAATGTATTATTATACTTCAGTTAGACCAGGATCACCCAGCATTCCTTCCACCCACCTATGTCACGGCCGTAAAGGGAAGGCCTGCAGAATCGCTATGGGAAAGAGTTCTGGCAAAAGCCAATCACAGGGACAAGGTCAATGCATGCGAATCGAAGACCCAGAAGTAAACCCACACACCTATGGACATCTGACTGTTGACAAAGAAGCCAAAATTATACAATGGAAAAAAGAAAACATCTTCAACAAATGATGCTGGCATCGCTGAATGTTGGCACATAGAAGAATAAAAATAGATCCATAGCTATCACCCTGCGTGAAACTCAAGACCAAGTATGTCAATGATCTCAACATAAATCCAGTTACACTGAATCTGAGAGAAAGTGGGGAACAGCCTTGAATGCAAGGGCACAGGAGACAGCTTCCTGCACGGAACACGAGCAGCACAGACACCGAAAGCAACAACTGATAAACGGCGCTGAAATAAATGAAACTGAAAGTTTATGTAAGGCAAAGGACACAGTTAACACAACAAAACAGCAGCCTACAGAATGGGAAAAAGATGTGGGGAAGGCCCCACATCTGACAGAAGGATGATCTCCAAAATATATAAAGAACTCAAGAAACTAGACATCAAAAATAAAAAAATAAGAATACTTAAAATGGGGGTACTTATTCAAATGGCAGAAGAATCTCAACAGATAATCACTTACAGAAATGTTTGACATCCTTTGCCATCAAGGAAATGTAAGCCAAAACAACTGTAAGATTTCATCTTACACTCATCAGAATGGCTAAGATCAAAAACACAAATGACAGCTCATGGTGGAAAGGATTTGAAACAAAGGGATCACTCCTCCATTTCTGGTGGAGTGCAAACTCGTACAGTCACTTTGGAAATCAATATGGCAGCTCCTTAGAAAATTAGGAAATAAATTTAACTCAAGACCCAGCCATACCACTCTTGGGCATATACCTAAAGGATGCTCAATCATAACACAAGCATACTTGCTCATCTATGTTTATAGCAGCTTTATTTGTAATAGAACGTGAAGCAAGCTAGATGCCCCTCAATCAAAGAATTGACAAAGAAAATGTAGTGTTACTCAGCTGTTAAAAACAATGACATCAGAAAATCTGAAGACAAATGGGTGGAACTAGAAAAAAATCATGCTGAGCGAGATAACCCAGACCAGAAAAACAACTGTACTCAATCCTAAGTAATATATATAATAATATATACCATATTTGTGTGTCATATATATCATATACATTTACCACATATATGTGATCATATCATATAGCTGATATTAGCTATAAAGTAAAAGATAACCATGCTACAATCCACAGACCTGGAGAGGCTAGGCAATAAAGATGCTCAAAGGGGTGGGAGTGGGGGAAACACATGGACTTCCCTGGGAAGAAAAATAGAAGAGATCTTCTGGGTGCACTGGGGACAGGTGGAAATGGGAACTTGAAGGTTTGGGTTGGCGGGTGGATGGGGGGGGGAAGAATACTAAAAGCGATGTCATGATGGAAGTGGGGGGGGGGCGACAATGTGGCATCAGGTAGAAACTTGATGCAAGGGAAACTCCCAGGAATCTACAAAGATGACCCCAGCTGAGACTCCTAGCAACAGTAAATACACAGCCTGAACTGGCCATCTCCTGTGACCAGGTTGGTGACTACCCCAATAGTCCCCAGAGAATTTTCATCCAGTAACTGACGGAAACAGGTGGAGAGATCCACAGACAAGCATTAGGCCAAGCTTGGGGAATCCAGCAGAAGAGAGCAAGGAAGGATTTTAGGAGCCAGAGGAGTTCAAGAACATCACAAGAAAACCCACAGCAACAACTAGTCTGGCTCATAGGAACTCAGAGTCTGAACCAACAGCCAGGGAGCCTGCAAGGGAAAGACCTAAACCCTCTACATATATGTGGCAGTTATGTAGCTTGGTTTACTTGTAGGACCCCTGGCAATGGGAGCAGGATTGTCCCTAATGCATTGGCCGGCTCTTGGGAACCAGTCCTCATACTGGGTTGCCTTACACAGCCTTAATACAAGGGGAGCTGCTTAGTTTTACTCCAACTTGATATACCATGCTTTGTTAACATCGATGGGAGGCCTGCCCCTTTCTGAACACAGGAGAAGAGAATTGAGGGTTTGGGGAGGGGGAGAGAGGAGGGAAGGAAAACTGCAGTCGCGATGTAAAATAAATAATTTTTTAAAAAAAGCTGATCACAGAAGGAAGAGCTGACACTCACTCTATGATGAATTGAACATCTACTCTATTCAGCAGCTTCCAGAACAGATACCACAGGATCCACATTCTGGTGCTATGTTCCAGGAGATCCACCTGTCTGTGCTAAGGCACAGCTCTCTTGAAAGGGAGCATGACTTGGAGGAGCCAAGGATGGGAGCAGTCTGTTGCATGTCTACATCTCCTGCTTCACTTTTATACATTCTTTCCTTTATTAAACAGTCCATGGAGTCAGTGGGACAAAATCGACTAAGGAAATGTTGGTGTGGTTTATACATGTGCCACGTAATTTAGACCACAGAAGCCAATCTAGCAGCAAGGAGGCACAGGTTTCAAAACTGTGTCCAAAGAACATTTTTATGGACAGAAAGAAAAATATTTAAGATGGGGGGTTGCCAGGGATTAAACCCAGGCCCTTGCATATTCCAGGCAAGCACTCTAAGAATGAGTTGTATCTCTAGCCAGTTTTGTATTTTTTATTACGTGCATTTATTTATTCCATGTGTCCCCACACACATGTGCCACAGTACACATGTATAGGTCAGAACAACTTGCAGGAGCCACTTCTCCCTTCTGCCATGTTGGGCCCAGGACCAAAGTTGGGCACTTAGGCTTGGGGGCAGCACCTTGACCTTTGCACCATTTGGCAGCCCTGTGTTTTTATTTTGAAATAGGTTATCACTAAGCTGTCCAGTGAGACCTGTATGTCTTCTGTGGCCCAAATAAGCCTTGGCTTTGCTATCTTATTGCCTTAACCACTAGGCTAGTTGGAGTACATGCCTGAGCCATGAGGCCTGGCTGACTTTGACATCTTTATTGTTGTCTGACAGCTCAAGCATGTTCCCAGCTCCTGTTGGCGTCACATTCACACTGTTTGCTACAATGGTCATTCTCTCATGGGTTTGTAAAAGACATCCTACAACATGACTACTCTGCACAGACTATCATCACAAGGACAAATTATTTATATGGAGGGTGTCTTTCTGACCAGAGATCAGTTAAATATACAATAAGGCATTTAATAAAAGCACAAAAAATAAACAAAAATATAACTACTTTCGAGGAAAGGGCATATTCTCCCTTTCCTGACTGATATGGAAGACTCAGGGCCAGTAGATCGTGAAAGTCTCTTTACCTTTAGATAGCATTTGTAAACTCTACCAACAAAAGGGATCATTAATTTTTATTACTTCTTTTAAATCCACCTCAGGTAATTACTTTATAAATGATCAAATCTTCCAAGTACTAATTATCCATTAATAAATTTACTTAAAAGAATTAAATAACTCCATTACTTACCTGGAGGAGAAGAGAGATGACGAACAGGTCTTGCTGGTTGAAGCGGTTTGCCAATCAACTTTTTGGTTTCCATTGTCATAAAGACCTTGAGGTTCCATACTTTAATGGGGAAAAACACATTTTCATCTTTTAGACAAAATAATAAAGACCAGTTAGACCTTTTCTATGTATGCAAACAACGACAATACTCATTTGAAAACATTAAAGTGAAGACACACATGAAACCCATTTAAAATATTCAACGATTGGGCCTCTGTATAGCCTTCACACAGTTACACAATGCTTCTTTCAGAAATTTTCCTCCTTCAGTTTATATGGCTCTATTATTGTGTATTGTTTCCTGTGTCTTTAGCTGCCTCTTCTAACTACATTAACTGATCCCTCTTCTGTTCTTCAATTACAAATTTCAGGATGACTAACTTTAGCTCTAGTCCTTTTAGCTAGCACATCAATGTTCATGTCTACAGCTATCTACAGACACATGAAAATACAATGTAATGTATACGTTAGCCTAGCTATCCAGACACATGAAAATACAATGTAATGTATACGTTAGCCTAGCTATCCACAGACACATGAAAATACAATGTAATGTATACCTTAGCCTAGCTATCCACAGACACATGAAAATACAATGTAATGTGTACTTAGCCTTTGTGTACTAAGTGCTAGCCCCACTTCTCTTATTGTCTACTGTTATTTCCAGTTCTGCGTTATCATTGGATGTCAATTAAACATCTCCAAAAATGGAATTAAGAGCTGTGGTATCAAAAATGTTCTTCCCCCGAATTCTTTAATCACCAACTCTCTTAAAACTCCCCTTTACTAAACACACCTTCAACTCGGTGGCTTTAGTCACCCTGGTCGCTGTCTATTTTTCTGCCAAATGATACCTCATGTATTTTCATTAACTCTCCAATACTCTCTTAACTTCACAGCTCTGGCTATCCTTGAACTCTCTCTGTGGACCAGGATGACCTCAAACTGCCTCTGCTTTCTGAGTGCTGGGACTTAAAGGTGTGCACCACCACTATCCACAGAAGATCTTAATTCCCCTCTCTGATCATCTTTGAAATAGATGTAAATGATCCCTACATCTGACCTTGTGATGCCAAGAATATGTCTACATTATGACATTTAGAGGACATTATACTTTTTTTATACTAGACGAAAGTGGAAAACAGGTTCTTCTTAATGAAGAAAACTTTATTCACCTGCTATCTCCTGAAAAATATAAAATATGGATAAAGCAAACCATTCCTTGAGCAACTGGATACAAACTGTCATCTTTTGAACCATGCTCCTTTTGTATACACCTAAACTTTTAAACATGTGACTAGCGGTACAGGCCTGAAGGCTATAATCACTACAGGAAAATTGCAAGGCCAGAAGGCCAGCCGAGGCTACTTAACAAGATCCTGTCTGAAAAATAAAAACGTTAGAAATACCTTGGAATATATCTCAAGGTTAGACATATTGCCTACCATGTACAAGGATCAAGAATAATTCCCCAACATGATCAAAACAAAACAAAAATACTGCCCACCAGTTCAAAATCTTCTGCACTAATCATAATAGAAGCAGGTTACACCTGTGGCATAACCAACAGCTTATGTATGTATGTATTATTATAGATAACTCTTTACCATTCATAGAACCCTACATGACAGTAGATAACAGCCATCTTACTTCCTAGGCTTGATGCAAACACCAAATCGTATAACTTACATAAATCATCTAGGAACACTTCTGTTACATAAGTCAGTAGAAGTTGATGTGTGTTCTCATTTTATATTTCAGGTATAGAAAGATAATGTTCACCAAAGTTCAGCTGATCAGGAAGTGATGGTTAGACTTTACCCATGCAGGGGACAACCTTGTATCCTTCTGACACTTAGGCTAAACTGTTCCAGTTATCAATAAGAAGCCTTTTACTGTTTTTACAAAACACTTCTGCAATCTCTTCCAATCCAGTACTTATTACACACATTGCAACTACCTACTAATCAGTGTTTAAATTTGAGATTTTCATAGACATCGTCAAGGTCTTTGATCATATCAACTCTCTACTCCCCATCCACTCCTAGTCACCCACCAACTACTAGATTCCAATTTTCCTTCCAGAAGTGCCTCTGCTGTGAGCAGCCCCTCGGTGATGGTGGATATCCACCAAGCTGCTGAATGAACGCTACTGTTTCACTTGAGAGAAATACAGTACGTCTCAGACTTTCCACACTTCCTGCTACTCTTAAACCAAATGGTTATTCATCTTTCTGGGCCAAAGGCAAGGTGTTGCTATTTTCTTACAGAATATCTTCAAGTCTCAGAACATACCTTAAAGCAAAGCAGTTTTCATTAAGTAGTCAGAAGTAAAATCATAACAATCTCCTTTCGTTATCTTCTCTATTGATTCCCACTAATTTCATCTACTCTTTTTTATAAAGTATAGCATGTAAATATATTATTACATGCTAATTTGAATGTACCATTAATTGGCTGAGGCCACAGAAACTAGAATTCAATTATCTTCTCATCTTTTTATCTACAGCATAATTAGTTTTAATAAGTAAGCCAAAAAGGCTTCCTCATTGTAACTAAATTCTCCTGACATCTTATCTTCATGGTGCACGGCTCCTAAATTCCTGTGTGCAGCCCTTGCTTAGCTTTATACCAAGCACCAAAAGTTAATTGTGATCATAAGTAAATGGTAATATTTCCTCAGTATGATTACCAATTACTGTTTTGTTCTAAGAGATGCTTTCTCTTATTTAAAGGTCTGGAGATACTTCAGAATTACAGTAATAAGTATACTTCCTCTGTGTTAGGCATGCTAACTCACCTCAGAGTTAATTTTTCCTGATGTGTGGGGATGAGCCAACCAGCACCTGTGTCAGTGCCCGCCTTGCTTCCTTATGTTAACTGGTGCCGACTTAACACAGCAAGTAGCTTTCTGAACAAACCAATGCTACATTTGTTCATGATACAACACTGATATACCAGGAAGCAAAAAATAAAAAAAAAAAGCCCTCAAATATTTGACTGTTTTCTACATGGAATATTTAAAATAAAGGAAAAGTCATCTAATGTGTAATATGAATGAACTATAATACATGTTTCTTTACTTAATGGTTATCCTAACAATTTTTGATGCGAACCCCAATACCATACAGAAACTGTCCTCCCTGTTTCCATATGAATAGTGAGTTGGGACACAAAAGAACAGAAGACCTTGGCACACAGCTCCTTGTTTTCCATTGCTCAGCTGAAACTGAGGGACGGTCTCCTCCAGCTGCTGAGCAAGGCAAATCCCTAGTATTCACACTGGTCAATTCCAAGAGTTGGAGTTACATTTGCAAAACAATAAACAGCAGCCGAAAGCTCTTTTGGGGCTACCTCCCTTACAGTGGGCAGAGGAAGAGAGTACCCAGGACTTCCCATTTGTAAATTCACATCAGTCAAGAAATTAGACAATGCAGGTGCCCACAGACTTTTTATGTTTTCTTTTAAAACCAAACTCTGCTTGCACAGAAACCCTGACACGGTAGCGGACGAGTTAGAAATCAGGGTGCAGAGTTCACACCACCATCATTTACTAGAGGACTGCGTATTTACGCGATAACACACACCTGAGCTACGACGCTAATCAAGGGAGACCACCACAAACTGTAATCCAAATCTCCATTTAGTTAAAAATAACAGGCTAGCTGAACTTAGTTGTTGCATTAAATAACATCAGTTTTTTATGCCTGTTTCATCGGAGAGCTGACCAGTTCCCTGATGCTGCCAGTGTCGCCCAGAGCACTCCTCAACTTTCACAAAGGACACAAGTTGCAAAAGAACCGGCCTCACTGCTATCAATGAGGAGCACCGAGCAGGCCCATAGCAGAGTTCTCTCTTAAAATGCAAATGTACAGTTTATGACCAAGATCTTATTTGGCATAATACCTAAAAATATTCATTCTATTAACACAGTCCTCAGAAAGTTTGCTAAACAAAGTTTCGAGTTTTGAAAACGTGTCATCCTGAAGGGCAAGGGCAGGTGAATGAAATGAGGAGATTACTCTCAGGGCCGTCCGTCCGGAACCTGCAGCTGCTATCCCACTATTCCACGTGTGCCGAGGCTAAACACATCCTCGGCGTGTTTTGCTGAAGCTGTTCTCATTCTGAAATTACAAATTAACTAGAATATTCTAAAATATAATAGATACGCACATAAACTGATAAATGTGGATGCAATCTGTATTGAGTATAGATTTTTAAATTAGAACACCATTTCTTTAGATATTATGACGTCCTCAACACCTTACAAATGTCACTTCATTTAACATTGAGCTGTACACTAACTGTTGAAAAGATCAGTCCCGCCTTACAGGTGGGAAAGAAACATGGGGTTCAGAAACCCCATCTACATAGTGTAAATTTGACAACAAAGTTCATCCGTCTCTAAACTTGCTTACTTGTTCAGATATCTGACTCCACTGTCATAAGCAAGTATTCTATGTGTTGATGAAAACCTTAACAGGAGAAGGCACATTTAAGTATAACGCCTTGGTGAATAGATTGTAGAACACTTTTCATTTCCTCAATTTACAATTTTTTTACAATATTTAATTATGACACTTTTTTCATAGTAACGATAATTCAGTGTTTAAGATATATAGGACTGGGTAGGTAGCCCCATCACGAACGAAGCACTGGGTTTGGTCCCCAGCCCTGCATAAAGCCTGGTATGATGGCTCACACCTGTAATCCCAGCACTGGGGATCAGGAATTTAAACCCATCCTGGGCTTCTAAGTGAATTAGAGGTCAGCCAGGGCTAGATAGGCTAAGTACTAAAATTAAAATCCCCCTTTTAAATTCTGGGCTTCTTGGCGCTAAGGATGTAACCCGGTGGAAAAGCGCGACCCTAGGATATGTGAGGTCTTCGGTTCTATTCTCAGCACCGCCAAAATACAGATGCGGAGTTCTAGAATAATTTAAAAAACAACATCACTTTTATTTACTTTCCGTATATTTCCCACGTGAAAACTCGTTAAGATTTAAACTCAACTTCCTGCTGCAAAATTCTACACTTCAAAGTATTCCTTAAAATCAAACGCTGCTTGTTAAGAAGACAACCAGTCCTGATAAGAATAATAAACGAAAAGTAACAAAATAAATACGAACGGGAGATAGAGTCTATTACTAGGTAGTCAAAATAATTTCATATTCCATACATCTACTAGGCCTGTTCTGTTTTTCAAAACTCAAAAAACGTATCCAACAGCATCAACACGTAGCATTATTTTTCTCACCTTGTCTAAAAATTCCGGGGAGTGGGGGCCAAGAAAGAGTTGGGGTTTTTGTTGTTGTTGTTGTTGTTGTTTTAGTTTTATCTGTTTTAACATCTTTCGATAAAAGACACAGTTTAACGATTCGCTGAGACAAGCTGCCCAAGCAACAGGTGAGTGGCGAGCAGTCTGGACCTTCTCCCTAGCTGGCACCGAACCCCCTCCGCTCGCCCTGCCCGCTCGTCCCGCAGTGCCCGCCGCCCACCCGGCGCCGGCCGCCCCTCACCTACCGCCTCAAGACCCGGGAGGGTTTCCGGCGCGGCGTCGCGGCGCTCAGCCCAGACACGGCGGCCACAGCCGAGCGCCCGGCTGCCGTCGGGGAACGGCTCCCGCCGCGCGTCGCCTCGCGGCTTAAGTCGGCGGCGCAGCGGGCGGGGGGCGGGGGCGGGGACGGGGGCGGGGTCCGGGCGGGCGGGGCCCCGGGGCCGGGACCGTTAAACCGGCGGCGCGCGGCGGGCCGGGGCCTGGGGGCGGCGCGCGATCGGTGCGCGCAGGGCGAGCGGCGACCCGGGCAGGTGCTGGCCCCCGGCGGGGCGCGCCCTCTTGGGCACCCGGGGAGGCGCTGCGCGGCGCGGAGCCCCAGGGTGGGAGCCAGGCCGCCCCTGCAGCCAAGCTGGCTGTGACCCAAGCTCTGCAGCCGGCACCCAAAGCCTTTTTTTCTGACCTGGTAGGTCTTCTGGATCCCAACTGTCCGCCCGGAGAACTGGTGTCCATCCAACCGGAATATAAATGCTCACCGTATTCCTTTTCTGTTGTTGTGACCCCCAAAAAGTGGCAAAAAACTAAAGGGCGGGTCTCTTTGGACTCCCAGCATGAGGGTATAGTCTGTCATGGTGAAGACGATGTGGGGGGAGCATGAGGTAGCTGGTCATATTCCATCTATTGTCAAAAGCAGAGGTGACTTACGGTGCCCAGCGCTCTTCGCCCCACCCATTCAGTCCTACAAGCCCAATGCACTTACAGCTCCTTTTCTACCTCAACCCAGTCTAGAAACTCCCTCGCGGCGTGCTGTGAGGTTTGTTACCTAGACGACTGTAGATCTAATAGAGTTGACAATATCACCCTCAGCAGATTACAGTCCTGAAAAAGATCAAGATTAGTTCAGAAAACTCTGTTGACTCCAAATCCATTATTTCCCACCTTCGTTTTCATTCTCTTGTGAAATATTTTTCACTGTCGTCTCAGGCTGTCGGTAGGCCTGTGCTGATGGACACGTGTGTGTGTGTGTGTGTGTGTGTGTGTGTGTGTGTGTGTGCCCGCGCCCTCACAGGACTTGACATAAGCAACACCTGGGAGGAGCCAGGTAAGTCCTGGAATAGTTAGGTCGGGAGTATAGGAGAGCAATGCCCGAGTTCTACAGTGATACGTGGCTTACCATTTGAAAAGATAAATTCTGTGACACTTCTGTTTTGGAAATTATTTTTCTACCTTTTTTTTCTTTTTAAAAACAAGCTTTTCTCATTTTTTAAAAAATATTTATTTATTTATTATATTATGTGTACAGCATTCCTTCCACGTGTGCCTGCAAGCCAGAAGGGGGCGCCAGGTCTCATTATAGATGGTTGTGAGCCACCATGTGGTTGCTGGGAATTGAACTCAGGACCTCTGGAAGAGCAGTCAGTGCTCTTAACCTCTGAGCCATCTCCCCAGTTCCATCTCCCTCCTCTTCTCCCACTCCCCCCACTTTTCTCCTACCCCACACCCCATCCACTCCTCAGAGAGGGTTAGGTTTCCCATGGGGAGTCAAAGTCTAGCACATTGCTTTGATGCCCTCTCTACTATATCTAGGCTGAGAAAGGTATCCCTTCGTAGGGAATGGGCTCCAAAAAGCCTGCTCAAGCACTAGGTGTAGGGCAAAGGGCCTGCCAAGGAAACCCACCCATGCAGGGCTGAGACCAGGACAGCAAAAGAAATATTTTAGCCCCAAACCCACTTTGGCCCGAGAATTCGAGACAGTAAAAGAATATGCCCTGTTGCCAAAACTAGAGCCAAAAAGCTAAAACAGGCTAGTGAAAGAAACCCAATCTGGCCCTGAAATCAGCCATCTCTGCCCATGACCAACTAACCTCAGACTCCACGGAAAAACTCTGCCCCTAGGAAGCCCTGTGTAAGTCCTGTGCCTGTTCTGTTTGCTGCTGTCTTCCACCCTGAGAGAGGCAGCCACTCCTGGATTCTTCCCTCCCAATAAATCTCTCTCAGTGAGGTTTGGGTGAAGACCTCCTTTCGCCTGAACAGAGCAGAGCCGTGCAGGGCTGTAAACACTTCCCCTGGGGAAATCTAGCCAAGCTGAGTTGTTACAACTTTGCTGGGGAAGCCAGAGATAGAGAATTGGAGCCCAGCGGGGCTGTAACTTTGGCTGGGGAAGAAATCTTCCCCTAGCAGAGCGGAGTTGTTAAGCTCCTGGGGCCCCAGAGCCGAACTGTAACAACTTCGGTAGGGAACCAAGCAGAGCTGTGACTTTGAGGGCTGTAAGCTGCTGTGCTTACTGTGACCTGTGCTGATTACTGTCTCCCAACTGCCAAATAATCCACCCAAGCTGTAACACTCAGTATTCCCCAGCTCCCAACTGCCAGAATACTTTTCTATCTGAACTGCAAAGCTTATACTAGGGATAAACCCTGGTCCCTCTGCCAGTGGCCCCACAGACTGCCCCAGCCACACAACTGTCACCCACATTTACAGGGACAAGTTTGGACCTATGCAGGTTCTCCTGATGTCAGTCCAGAGTCAGCGCCCACAGCACAGGACAGGTGTTTCTGTGGGCTCCCCATCATGGTCTTGAACCCTTTGCTCATATGATCACTCCTCTGTTTTGTAAATTACTTTAACTATGTAAAGATGTGTTACATTTGTTTATGCTGTGGAATATTAGTTTAACTATGTAAAGATGTGTCACATTTGTTTATGCTGTGGAATATTACTTTAATTGTAAGGATGTGTTACATTTGTTTATGCTGTGGAATATTAGTTTAACTATGTAAAGATGTGTTACTTTTGTTTATGCTTTGGAATATTGCTTTAACTATGCAAACGTGCTACATTTTTATGCTGCATTTGTTTAACAGCATAAGATTTGTTTATATTGCATTTGTTTAATGTTGAAAAGATGTATTGCTGTTTTACCTTGCTTGCCTAAAACACCAGACTGGCCTAATAAAGAGCTGAATGGCCACTGGCTAGGCAGAAAAAGGATAGGCAGGGCCGGCAGGCAGAATAAGTAGGAGAAATCTAGGCTCAAGGGAACAAGACGAAGAAGAGAAAAAGAGAAATGGAGGTGCCTGGGGACAGCCAGGCAGTTGCCAGACAGACAGATGTAGAGACAGCAGGAAAGTAAGACATAAAGAAAGTTTAAAAAGTCCTAAGGAGAAACATAAATAAGGAGAAACCGGTTAAGTTATAAGAGCTAACAAGAAATGAGAGAAGATAAGGCTAAGCTTTTATAACTAATACCAAGTCTCCCTCTCGTAATTTGGGAGCTGGTTGATGGCCCAAAAAGAAAAAGTCTGGTACACACTTCTATGTACAACCGATGTATTGCTAGTTATCTTGATGTAAAAATAGCTTTGAGACACTCTTTACCAGCACTGACTTAACTCACTTGGCATCAAAGGTCAAAGTTCAGGTCAGGTGATGGAATTACCATGATGAAAGTGTGACTTGTGGCTGATAGCACAAGAAGCTGTGGGCAGCGCAGTCAGAAGATCCTCCAAGCCCCATGCAGAAAACTAGCTTGTCAACTTTCAGTATCTACTCAAAACATGTCTTCATAAATACAGTGAACAATGTACAACTTTACATGCACTTTACATTAAAAATATTTTAATTATACTACATAAAATCCATAGAAATTATTATGACAAAAATGATAATTGGGAACCATTTTCACGTAAAACTAAGATCAGGAATTTATAGAAAGCTTAATTTTTAAATGCCTCTAAGAGACTCCTGAATTTTTTATAATTGATAAAAATGAGCCATGCAATGCTGTGGACCCTTAGAAACCCTTATTGCTTCAGCACGAGAGATAAACATCTATAGTCTAACATTCAAATATCCACCATGAAACTCAGACAATAAACAGATGGCTCCAACTAAATGAGCAAAGTTTAGTTTTGTCCCGAATTTGAACGAGCCAGGCATGGAGGCACAGACCTATAATACGAACATTTAGGAGGCTGAAGCAAGATGACCCTGAGTTTGAGCCCAGCTAGGGCTGCAAAGTGAGAGTCTGTCCCCAACAGAAACCATAGAATTGCATTGCCCTGAAATCTCAGAGCTCAAAAAACTCACAACAGGTTTCACCAAATGTAGCAGTAGTAAAAATTAAATTACAGTAAACAGATGTAGAACTGAAATGAAATTTCAATAATTTTTAAAAAATGTTTGCAAGAGCTATCAAATTTTGTTCATATTAAAATAATGTTACCAGAATATTGTTGCAAATGATAAATATAAATACATATGATAAAGGGAATGGAAGGGAATAAGATTGCTGTTCCGACAGAAGCAAAGACCTGTGAGTCTCAGCCAGGCTCAAGCCATGGGTTGAGGACCCACACAGTCTCACACAGACTTGAAAACAAGTGACAGCAACGGAAGGTTTTCTAACGCATGATGGCCAAAAACTCCTTCACAACGGAGCATATCCCGAGGCGTATCTGCTGGGACTCGGCCATGCTGAATACATAGCTTTGTTAGCCTTAGCTCTGAACACACGGCAAGTGCACGCCACACTCTGCATGTCCTCAAGCCACGTGTCCATGTAGTATGCTCTGAGTTGTATTCTTTTAACATATGGAAAAGCTCCCGGCTTTGGGGGCTGGAGAGACGGTTCAGCAGTTAATGTGCTCTGCTTTTGCAGGTGACCCGGCTCGGTTCCCATCACCCATCACAAACAGCAGCGATTCACAGTTGCCAGCATCTCCAGATCCGTATCTGACGCTTCTGGCCTTGGCAAGCACTGGTACTCATATGCACGAGTCTATACACAAACACATGCACATAAGAGTAATATTAAAGTTCTCTGTTCTTAAGTAAACAATAGTTGGACTGCAGAAAACACTTTTTAATATTTTCCTACTACCATTCCTCAACATGTATCATATTCATATATTGTAGTCTACTGCATTATATATCTGATTTTCAGATTTAAGTTGCTGAGTCGAGTTGCATAGATTATTCACAGACTGGGGAGGTGACTTAGTAGTCAAAAGCTCTTGTTTGGTAAACACTATGGTTACACAGAAGCCAGGAGTTGCCAAGGGCTCTTTAACCTCTGCACAGGGTGGTGGTGGGGTAGAAGACACCTGGCACTTGCTGGCTCTTAACCAAAAAATACAGTGGGAGGCCCTTTCTCAAAGGCTAAGGTGGGGAAT